CTGTACTGCAGGGTCCAGAGAATTTCCTGAAGACAAAAGAGGGCAGAATATGTCGTCGACGTAGAGAACAACTGATGGGTCACTGGTATGGGCCAGAGGTCATTCCACCCAGTGGTGGTACAAAGGTGGATCTCCTGATATTCAACTAAAATAGATCTTAGATTGTTTTGCAAACCTTTGAAATACTCGTTTGTAAGACCAAACCGGATTCCACCTCATTAAATCTCCTCTAAGCTTTTTCCTTTGAATAACCATATTTTCATTTCACATGTCTTATAATTTTCCCCTTAAATTAAGCAACATGTTTATTAGAGGCAACATGAATAATTATGTTTAGCAAAAATGCCACTTTGTGCGTTAAAGCTGCCTAAGCTGGGAAGTTGGTCTCATATTTCTTACAAATTCCTTTCAATTTGTAAATTTGGAAACCTGGATGTTCCGTCTTTGTACTTACGCTGGCTACATAGCCTCCAGGCTATGCCAGTAGCCTCTTAGCCCTTCCGTACGTAAATAAATAAATTTTATACCCTAGTGTTTTATATCTTCTTTCGACTTTGGGGAAGCCTCGAGGCGCAACATATGAGGTAATTATCTATTAAAAGACTTATTAGAATTTAAAGACTCATCTCTTGAAAGTTCCTTAGATCGAATATAAACTGCATTTTTAAACCTTTTTGTTGGTGTAAAACTGTTTAATATTTAAATCCGCTTTTGAGAATTATTTTACTGAGTGTAAATAATGAAAAATTTAGCTCTGTGTTATGAGTTATCAAAAAACCTTCTTGAAAATGAGTAGTCTACAGAATTAACTTTCTTAAAAATTGATTCTGTAAGCAATCAAGTTTATCATAAACCAAACCAACAAAGAGGCCTTAAAACGCTATCCGATGGTGGTTGGGCACTCCCTGACACTTTGAAGAAGTCTAAAGCTTTCCTATTTTTAGTTTTGTTTGTAGGATTTTGACAGCCTGTCAGTAAAAATAAATCCATAAAGTTAATGAACTTTGACTTATTTGGCATCCCGAAACTTATATGAAGAAGAAAGAAGACCGAATATTTGGGCAGAATATGCATTGGTGACGCACAGAAGGGCTGGTCGGGGCTACTGGCATAGTTCAGAGGCCACGCCACCCAGCGGAAGTACAATCGTGGAGCCTTATACATCCGCATAAGTGAATGTTTATTTGAATTCCTAAATGTTTACAAATGAGCATACTAAGTCGCTTGGGTTCTTTTAACAGGCTCCAACTTGTTAAATTGTACAGCACTTTTTATTACACGACCACTAAGACTCACTATTCAGATTGTATAAGGCGAAAACTGGGCACTTCGGCGTCATGAGTTGGGGGATGCACGATTCACTTATCACATTCTCTGAAGAATGACATGCCCAAATTTTGGGAATTCCAGGACAGACGCCAAAGCCATTAGGAAGTTTGCTCTGTTGGGCAAATCCATGAGGCCGTGTTTCTAAGGTGACATAATATTACCTCAAAAGATTTTGATTTTTAGTCTAGGCTCAAAACCCGCATAGTCTTTAACTATCATGATCGTGAGGAAACACATTCAAGACGTCACTTTTAAAATGAACTCAAAGATTCCTTCTAATCATGCGCAAATCTCTCGAAACTGTTTAGTTTTTGCACAAAAATGAGCGATTTACCTAATTTTGGTAAAATTCATAAGAAATTTTTCAAATAATTCTATTCCTTCCACTCCATATGTTGAAACATCTGCTAGACTGTCTAGTCTGAGGCCAAACTGTGTGTGGTGAAGGAGTCAAAACAAGTAGTTGTTAATCACCCCCAGAATTTTGTAGCTTTAGTTAAATTCTAAAACAATTAAAGAAGAGGAATCTTGCCTGCTAATTTATCTTCTAGAGAGCTAACTCAGCACTTTGTCAAGTGCGGGACAAATGACTTGTGTTGACACTTTGGTTTACTAGCAAAGTAAGGATCGGTGGGGACAAGTTGCTGCTCGCAACCCTCGCCTGTACGAAATGACCACAAAGTGGCTCTGTTTACGGCTCATACAATTACGCTGAGCATTTTAAGCCAAAAAATGCAAATGCACTATTTCTTTATAGTTATACGCCTTAAAAAGGGAAATGGCCATAAAGGTGCTACTTCAGCGGCAGTCAATCAGACTTTAGGTAAAATCAAATCCACGTTTGCCTTAACTTCTTTTAAAATAACTTACCTATTTGAACTCTTTACACAGCAACAGTTATTTCAGAAGGTTGAAAAGACATTAATAAAACCATTTATTAAAGAACCAACTTTTAATATATTTGCAACTATTTTAAAAAGAATCGGACCTCCACAACACGGACGCTTGATTTTTCTAATGCAAAATAAGGTTTCATTAATACCTGAAACATTTAAATCTTGTTAAAAGAAGATGCTATTATTCTTGAATCTGGAAGATCTTAATTTTATTTTATTGTAAGCGTCGATTTGGTACAATGAGCCTGACTCAGGTAAGAGAGTCGTGGTGTCACATATATGTGACTCTCAGGACAGTTGGGGTAAGGATATTTCTTTCTGTTGCGAAGTAATGCTAACGCAGCAGTGCGTAGGCAATGCTTCTGTTGAAAGATTTTCACTTTATTGCTTTGAAAAATAGTTTATCCTAACTACATCAAATGACTCCTGGGGGGTCTAAAATATTATTTTCTTGCGTGCATTTTGGATTCTCGCCTCCGTATCATTGTTACTAAGCCTCTCCGTACTTTTCTCCTCAATCCATTTTTAATTAACAATGGCCTAATCACGGCTACATATTTACTCATTAGATCAAATCAGAGATGTTAAACACCTCTTCCTATTTAAGCAGTGTATTACAAAAGGTTTTTTTTCATAAACAAGCTCTGCCCCTTTTTGTTTAAGCAGCACGCCGTGGGGACTTGTATGAGGCAGAGTTATGTTGCCGACTTACTCTCACTTGCGGACTTGCCTTTTGATTGTCAGAAGCATGGTATTCTGCCCAGACCACTCTGTCTCCAAATAAATCTCTACTACGATACTGAAGCTCTTCCCAAACCTATATTTTTCATAAGGTTGCTAGGATTCTTCTATTGGTGTTTTTGCATTGAGTCAGCCTTCCTTCCTTAATTTTTATTGTGTGACATGCATTCTGTTAGATTTCTATTGATGTTTATCAGAGCCGTCTCGCAGACAATGCTCTATCTGCCTCTGAAAAGGCCACAGGGGAATAGGTTCCAAAAGCCATCTTCTTATCGACACACGGGTGAGGTGAGAGACTAGTAGACGTGGGACTCGAAAGCCACCGAAGGTCCGAAAGGCCTGGTTTATCATAGTAAACAACTAAAAGGCGGCCTTTTAAAGAGTCATCAAGCAAATTTATGTGCGGATAATTCGTAAAACCTTGATGAATCAAGTTTTTTCCTACCTAATGCGCACAATCATCATTAAAAGACTGCTAATCAGTGTCAAGAATGAGGCTTTTATTCATTTAATCCTCTACAATAGCTGTAATAGAATTGGATTATCTTCATGTCAGGCTTGAAAATAATTTATTCATTGGGGATTTACAAACAATATCATGGTAAAAATAGAATACCCTAGTGGGTTATATTTACTTCAACAGAATGCATTTATTTGAGTGTTCAAGCATATTACGTGCCTATACATTCAGATTATGGAGGGTAGCTTAAGTACACTTAAAAATTAGGATTTTTAAGTAAATTTTTGCGTTTCTACATATAATTAGCTCTTCCTGTCGGGTGATTCTTGTTGAATTGAGAAGCGCCTTCCCGGCCATATTTACAAAGGCTTTGTACGCCATCCCCCGTTCATGCTTGCCAGGGAAAAGCCGTAGAGGCTCAATTTTGTCACTTATTAAACTCACCTCAATGATATCACCTTAAAATCACTGGGTGTGAATGTCCGTGCTACTTCGTCCTCTTATTCACACTTGACATTAAACCTCTCAGCGCGACTTTATTTTTAAAACTACTTATTTCAACAAACTTTGTAAGATAAGTTAATCATTTATCCACCTCGAGCTTGTAGTTAAGGCAGGTCCATTTATGAGCCCAACTTCAGGGAAAATGCACTAGTCAGTTAAGGGGAACAAAGTTACGAAGGGAATGACAAACGGAGATCCGTCACTTCACCAAAGAAGTAATACTAAAATGTAAGGAATTATGTGGGAAAATTTTTTGTCTAATAAGCAATTATAGATTGGAAGTAACCACTGATGATATTACAAGCGCTAAAAATTACTGTATCTTCTGCTTTTTACCACAAAGCACTCACAAATACATCGTACCATCAGGCGATGGGGCAAGGAAATTATTATTTGATCCTTCAAGCATTTGCTTGAACCCTCGTTTTGGTTTTGTCGGAGCTCAAAGCTCCACTTACGGACTTCTGTTGGGTAGCATGACCTTCGGTTCATGTCAGTAGCCCCCAACCCTTCTGTACGTCGGCATTGCATATTCTGCCCAAGTATTTTTTCTTCTGTCGTCTTCAAAGAAGTCTCGAGGGGCTGCACTTACTCCATATCAGTAGATGTTTTCCTTCTTCAAATGATATAAATTATAAGTACCATGTCGTCAAGTTATTTGAAAATGACAAATAATTATTAAAAGTGGTCTTAAAGAAAAAATGGGTCATTTAATTAGCACTAGAACTAAACATAAAATTAGCTAATTTTTTTTGGACAAAAAATTGTCTAATTATAAGCTACAAAATAGCAAAAATTGTTTCTTTTACATGTAAAGGCAGCAATTAAATGTTCCTTCGTAGTGGACGTTCAAACTCACAACATTTGGTCGAATTTTTTATAACAAACAGTCTAAGTAATTAGTTCAAATTACACATTTTTCACAAATATTTCTTCACTACAAAAACCCGACAAAGTAGAGACTGAGGGATTTGGTATATTACAAACTATGCAGTAGTAAATGCCCACCTTTATGTCTAAACGTCCAACTGTCATGTCAAACATCCTCCACTCTACGAAGGAGGTGTCGCTTAAATAAGCACAAATTTAGCAGATCTTGTAAATTCACTACTGATTTTTACTTGTCCATGGGAACGAAAGGTGATATCTATTATCCTTAGGTAGCAGGCAAGAGTAGTAGTGAAAGTCCTTTTATTTGGTAGATTGAATGAACGCCAAAAAGTGAGTCGTAGTTAATAGAGAGGCAAAATGATGTGTAAAAGTGATAGTATCACTTTCCCAGTCTCAACAAACGAATCGCGCGTTTTCGCGTGCCACTAAGCACTTTCTGGTCGGCGAAGTAGTCATCGAGGAAGTCTTTCACCTGGGAGAGTTTCTCGTCCACGGCCTGTTCTATTGTCATTGAGGGCATCTCCAAATCGGCGTCCATACGCTCCAAACCGCGCGGCCCCGGCGGCAGCGCTTCAATCACCGGATCTAGAGGGCAAAAATCCACCATGGTGAGGGTCACATAACGCTCAGCTTAGTTAGTAGAACAGTCTAAATTTTATCGTTGTGCGAGAAGAGGAGGAGGAGGAGATTTTTTGCCATTTCGAGAGGCAAAAAGGCAGCTGGTTGGGGATGTGTTAAGAATGCTTCCCTTACAACGAGGTTTTGTCACGCAAATTTGACGCCACCACACTATTCTACCCTGTTTGTATATAATAGGTGTAGTTGTTGGGATTTAATTTCATCTTTTTTGACAGTTTCAGTACCAATGGCAATCGAAGTCATGAAGTAGCATAAATTTTAGGAAATTATAATTCTTTACCATGGGTAGCTCAACACCAAAAAGTGCCTTTTTAAAAATATTTAGGAACGGAACCTAAAATATTAAAATCTTTATTAGATGACGTATCTACGTAGGTAGTTAGCGTTAAAAAAAATTGGAAAATACACAAGCAATCTGCCATTAAGAAAAGAAAGACAGCAGCACATTAGGAAATATACCTATGACAAATTATCATGCAAAAGGGCGGGAAAAGGCATTTAAAATTCATTGATATCAAATGAATGTACTCTGAGTGTTGCAGATTCAATTGTCCATTTAAAGCAAAAGTTTTTAAATAATCTGAGTCTTGAAGATGAAATAAAAAGTGAAATGCTGTAAATCCCGTCTTAAAAATGATGACTTTTCGCCTTTTTGTAGCCGAATAATTTTTATGCACCTAAATGCTAGTTTTTTGGAGCATTAAATTACAGCATCATTACCTGTGAGGAGGAACATCAGTGTGATTGCAACAAAAGTAGTCTTCATATCGAGATATCGAGAAAACATTTGGAGAAGTGATTTTGGAATCTAGGAAACCGGGAAAAAATGAAAAATTCAGTCGGTTGCTTTTATTGAGTCTGTGTGCAAGTAGGTAAGTCACAGAAGTTCTGCATACAGATGGAGATCCCCCTTGGAACGTACCGGCCAACATGCATTTCTACACTTTTATCTGTATTTGCATCATCGAATCAGCCAATCGCCGATAGCTCAAATGGCTCAATTTGATTGGCCCAAAAGATAATCATATGTATAAAACCCCGCTTTAAACTTAAAAATAAAGTACACCAGAAAGGTTCACTGTCTCTACAAAGCGCCTTCTTCAGCACTGCCAGAAAGCATGGAGAGGCTGATGTTGGCTAGTTTATCTCCCACGCCCAAGTGACTTATCCTTGAACAGTTTTAGCAAGAAAATATTAAATTAAATCATAAAAGAGAGCTAGTTCTAATACCTTTGTCTCTTGTATTTTCTAGCAAAATACACTACGAGCCAAATGTCCAAGTAATTAAACCCATTTCCAAAATAAAATGAGGGTGTTAAGAGTTGCCGATTAATTTTACAATTATTCTCACAAAAAACCAAACCAGAAATTATGAAATTCGTATTACTACCGCAGACATTAACTCCAGACGTGCAAACTACTGATTCATAAATGCGGACTAGAAAACGTTTAGGTAAAGCTTTTTTGAAGTAATCATTTATGTGCACGTCTGCGATCAAATGTCAACTGATTGTTCACCAGAAAGCGGGACTTAGCTGATTTGCGTTTGACCCATGGCCTACCTCAAGGCTGTGAAAGTTGACCGATTTGACATTTCTTAGAGCCTGCGCCACTGCTGAGATTTAGAATTTTACTTTACACTTTCAAGTAACTAATTAATCGGGCTTAAAGCACTTTTATGCTCTGTCAAGAATATTTTGGGATTTTTTGCAAGCCCTTTGTCTTGTAGCCGCCTTGTTGGGAAATGTGTGGTATATTGTGTGATCCGAGAGAGTGCCTTTGTCACGAATTTAAATATCACCATCAACAGCCATAGGCGCCATGAAGTGCTGACAGGCGAATTCTCATGACAGTGAATTTTTAATCAGGAAATCTTACCATTTGTTTCTGTGGCAAAACAAAATTAGTTTTTGCTCCATTCCCCATGCAATAACGTTTTTAGTTGATTTATGTTGCAAAAATTTCTTATAAATTTTTGATATTCTGGGTGACTTTTAAGATAGAATCTCCTTAACTATCAATTCAACCTTTAGGATAATTGAAAAGAAAGCATATTTTTCATCTGTTTTTTAAATTTCTAAACGATAATATCTCTTGCTTAACTTAAAGAATGGGTTTCGGGTAAGTTGTGGCACTCGACTCCTCTTCCAGAAATTGTCAGAATAGAACACCATAACCTCACTAAGATGGCAACCAAAACCAGCAGTTGGTGAAGATGCAAAACAGCCGAACTAAACTTTGTCACATTCGAATTCGGCCGCCACAGCCCAGAGGTTCTATTGTTCTATCCTGTGACCATTTTTGTAGTTTTCTTAAAAACAGAAGGAATTGCAATTATCCTTACGTCAAGACCACTCTAAGACGTTTATTATCTACATTTTAACCAGTCCTTTTTGTAACAGCTAAGGAAGTCAGTGAGTCGCATATATGTGACGCCGGAGGCGATTGTGGTAGAAAATTTTCTTTCCTCTACAAAGTAATGCTGACACTTATAGCTTTGAAAAAAGACAAAAATATGGATGAAAGAAATAATTTTTCATTACTTTTACCTCCTGTCATAGTAGTACAAGTATCCTGGCTAAGAATTAAATGTGGGTAATATTTGCCGTCAATGGTAAAGCGTTCGGAGGCGGCTTTTGGTAGAATCATTTTATAGCAAAGTGGTCTCTTTTATCTTACGGCATAAAAAGAGCTTTCACAACTCTAACCATCAGATATTTAAAAGGCCTGATGGCGGGTAAATTTGCGGAACCGCTGAGACACACATACATGAGTGTGTCCAACTATGTTGGCAATCCTACCCGCCTCTTGTGTGGAACTGCCGCTTTTCAACCAAAATATGTTTAGTCTTCAGGTGTTAAATTACCAAAACAACTTTAGCATGTTAAAATGTTGCGATTCAGAATTAGTGTTGACTCAGCTTTTCGACGAGGCATTCGCCTACCCCCCAATGATAGGAATAAACCCCTCTCCCGAACACATTGGTGGGATCATGTTTTCAAAAACGAAGACATTTGTACCCGAAGGAAAGTTAGTTTATTGCAGAGGGATTTGCTGCTTTTTAATACTCTCCCTCACATCGGCTGAAAGAGGATACAACTCAAGGCAGAAGTGTACCTTTAAAGGAGATAAATGTGAGGATAAATGCCACTTTCTTGAACCAAGTGCTTTTTTAACGAGGCGATCAAAAATTGAAGTCTTCCTATCTCACAAGCCAAAAGAAATAAAAGCCTGATATTCGCAGCGGTGTGACATAAATTTTACTTCTTCTACACATTAAACTTTTGCTGGGACAACTGTAAGTATAAAAATTGCCCGTTTGCTTTGACAACTTCGGCAACTTTTAGCCGAGGTCTCACAACGTAACTCGCACTTTATCCAGGCAACGATTCCCTTGCACAACAAACTACTCGATGCTTGCCAACTTTATGCATTATACAGAACCCCACTACAACGGATTCAACCAGCTGAATTCTTGGCCCCACTATTCATCGATTCTACCATCCAATAGAGCGGTGACATCTTTGACAAGCGTAATGATACCCTTCCTCCATTGATATTTATGTGACCTGACTGCACCTTGAAAACGGAGGAAACACTCAAAGTATATGACCTGTAGTTCTAATAATTCATTTAACCGAAATTTATTGTCCGAAGGAGAACACGTTTCATATTTTCTCTAAACGCGTTTGTACAAACCCAAGCCCTATCGTACAGAGATCACTTGTCGAGTTCTCTACGCATGTGCCAACCATGAACGTTAAACGCCAAAAAAATATTTATTAACGGTTTTTCAAAGTGTTATTTTAAAAAGTATTTAGAATTGAACGATTTCCATCCGAAAATGAAATTAGTATACTCTAGGACTTGAGGATTTTATCTTCTTCCTGGGAGACTGAGACCCTCATTCATCATAAAATTGACGAAGAATGGAGTGAGAATTCATAATATTTACAGGAAAGTTCACATTTCACTCATTAGTAGCAATGCAAGCCTATGACTTCCTTAATTTTCCGCAGATTTTGTGAAGCCACAAGGTTCGCTATTCGAGCTCCAGCCGAAAGAGCGTTCTGAACAAGCCCAGAGCTCTCCAATTCCGCCAAGCGTGTTCGAATAGGCGTAAGTTCCTCCACGATGACGTCAGTAACGACATTTTTGAGCTCTACTTTCGACAATTTCACCAACTGTTCCACGGCCTCTTGGATTGGGACATCCTTGAAAATCGAGGTCAAATAATAAGTACTACTGAAAAAGAACGAGGCTAAATTTCTATAAGCCCTAAAATGTGGCTGACCTTTGCTGCGGCGAATATTTGCATGAGGTTAGCCACGCCAGGCCGAGTCACGGGGTCATAGGTCAACTGACGGATGGAATCGGTTTGTGCACGCGTCACCTTCGATTGAACTGTGTCCGGAGGGTCGGTTAACCAAATGACACCGGAGTCAGGGCCCATAGACTTGCTCATTTTCTTCGTTGGCTCTCGAAGATTGTAGACCTAGATGTAGTGATATCGGTTATTTTATAATAATAAATTGAAAAGAAAATGATTGCATGGCAAGAATTAAGGCTAATTGGCAAAACAACATCAATTTCGACGACAGGTTTTCGAGAATATTTTTATAAAATGCCCTATTGTGATCTCACAGCACTAGAAGGTTAGCGTAGTGGAAACGCAACATTCGGTGGGATTTTTAGTTCCAATGTGCGATCCAAAGCTACATAATGGGACAAATTGACACCTGCTTAGTCTCCCATAGTCCTCTCCGTGTTTTATCACTGCACTTTCGATTTAATAACTCGAATGACAATAACTCCATTTCGAATACATCAAATTCGCCGCCAATGCTTCGCCGACTGCATATGCAAAAGGATTTCGACCTTCAGGGAGTAAATGCATTAAGCTTACAGGGAGAAGTTAAGCGAGAATTCTGATTCATAACTAAAAAGTCCCCACCTTTGTAAACCTTTTAAATCACGATCCAAAGTCGTTTTCAAGTAAACGTGTCAAATATGTGACTTCGACCTGTAAATAAAATTTCAAAATCGAGCCCAAAAACCCCAAATGCTTTCGGAGCTAGCCACACCACAAAATGCAGGAGTTAGGACTGGGAAGTCGTATCGCCAAATTTTGCATTTCCGCAATTCATTTGTCATATCATCAAAAACTTCAAAAAGGGAAAAGCTCCTCGATACATGGAAACCACACTCCAAACCTTCACAAATAAGAATGCAACAATCAGGTTCAAAACACTGCATTCCGCGTTTCCCTCAACATTTAGCAAAGAGTAGTGATTTACTTAATCAAAGCACTCAAAAAATACAGAACTTATTCTATTCGTGAAGAAACTTCGATGGCTGCTTGGAGCGGACATGCTTTGGCTAAACCTCAATGACGTACGAGCTTCAGATATTACAAAAGAAAAGTTGAATGGAGGAATCAAGGCAACCACACACACAGCAACATGTTACATTACTCCGCAGATCGTGTTTTCTGTCACTTTCATGATTATATACGTCTCAGCGGCAGCAACTTAGTCCCACTGGCACAATTGCATGATCAGAGCAGAAGATGAATTAGGTCAGCAAACAATTTAAGCAGAGAGCCGCGGTTATTCAATTTGTTTTGCTGATCGTGATTAGCTAGGCGAGCAATCAATCCCACATAGCATCAGTAGTATTAGCGATAGAACTAAACCAGAACAGAAACAGAAACGATGACCTCTGATGAGACAGCGATAGCAAAAGCTTCAAAAAATGAAAAGTGGAACAAAATACCACAAAAAATAGGCCCCAATTACTATCAATAATTTGCAGATTGACTGAAAAAAAACTTCACCGCATCAAAAGAGAATTGTCACCAAATCTACATAAGTATACAGCGCTTATCACATACACCATCAGTGCCTCGGGTGAAAATTGACCACCACAGACCAAGGGTTTCATTGTTTTACCATAGTATCGTCACCTAGACCACCCAAAGTAAAGTGATCGTCGCTAGGTCGAGAGTATCTTATAGATATTTTATTGTCTTGGACTCAACAAGCCTGTTTGCGACATAACTTCGTGAAACTTGTTATCACAGATTGGTGGACAACAAGTAACACATTTGTGGTGCCAGGCTCAATAAGGAAAGTCAGAACGTCACACATATGTGAAGCTGGTGGTGAACATATTAAACATAAACCGTGTCATATCTACCTTTATTAGCTAAAAATCTAACACCCAATCTTTCATTTCTTTACCTTACATCTTTCGTTTCTTACTAAGCAGTTTCGTAACACCATCCAAAAACAATTATAAGGCCTACCCTAAACTCACCTTTGGCGTTTCGGTCAGCTTTAAGCAAGGAGACTTGAGAAGGCCCTGGAGCGCTGGCCAGTGGGTCAAAGTCACACGAGCGAGGTCACGGGTGAGTTCGAGATGAGTGATCTGATCAGCGCCAACAGGTACGAAGTCGGCGGCGTAGAGTAGCACGTCGGCCGCCATGAGGAGGGGGTACGTGAAGAGACCCACAGAGGCGCCGACCTCCCCTGAAGCCTCCGACTTCTCCCGCCACTGCGGCAGATGTGCCAGACGCTGTGGATGAAGAATGAGAGGGGACTGGGCCTTCTTAATTATGTGGATAACCACACAGACACTTTCGATACTCTGTAATTCAGTATTCTTACTAATGATATACTACTTTGATGATAACGATCCTTCTTCAAGACTTCTAATTCTTCCGTGTATTAATAATGATGATACACTGGTCTTTTCAGATTAACGTGACCCAATCTCCGCGCTGACAGTTTAAAGGTTTTTAGAAACTTCAAATTAGGGAGAGGAATGTATTGTTTCTTTGGCTTTAACTATGCTTGTCATCGTGGGAAAACTTTAAAATTGCATATATTTGTTTACAGAGTAGAGTGGATGGACAAATGGGTAGACACGGGAAAGATATTTTAGTTCTACACGTTGCTACACTGGCCTTTTTGGTTATGTGTTCCAACTTCCACACTAATGATAAGACTGTGTTAGTTTCAATCATACCTCTAACCTACACCTCTGCTCACGGACAGCAGAACTACTTATAGCCACAACAGAGGTAATACAATGTTCGCGATCAATAACAGTTTGCATTATAAAACCAACGAGCAAGGGACAAAGGGGTGGTGGACTTCAAGGACTCAATGATTATTAGGCACAACATGAAGGGATAGTATTTTTTGAATAGAAGCTTGTCGTTAGTTAATCCACATTTAATTCGATGAAAGCAAATTAGTCGGCAATTTATGTATTTCAAGTAGCACACATCATCCACGAATCCGACAAAGGTTAAAAATAGGCACATAGACCAAATAATAACGGTGAGCCAAGAAAAAAGAAAACTGATGAAAAGAACTTACATTAACAGTACATTGTGAAGCCAGAATCCAAGCTAGTTCACAGTGGCCAGTAACGCTTGACTGAGGAAAGAGAATTGTTTTCCTTTTGGCCGTTGAGTCTTCAGATCTTAAAGCTGGGTCGATACCACAGGCCAAAAGTGCGGATCCCAACTTAAGTGTCGACTGAGCCCGATCATTGTTAGGAGTATGTTTGGTCAAGGCATGTAAGTCGGCAATCAATAAAAAGAATTGGTCCACACTTCCCTCTGATTGTAGTCTGACGCAGGGCTTTATCATCCCGAAATAGTTACCTAGATGAGGATACCCTGTTGGTTGGATTCCAGTGACAACTATTTGCCTATGATGTCCTGTGACATAAAACGCCCTTATTTGAGTGGAACCAGATAAGAGCATTCGTCGAAGTGGGCGACATGATAGCTGAGGAAGAAACGGCAAGAGCTAAGAGGAAAATTTTAATGATGGGCACAAATGCACATCATGCTTCAGTAAAATCACATACATACTTAAGCATGCCCTACACGGATTGCAATTGGCTAAAGCAAATTTGCATCTTTTTTCTGTATAGATAAACATCCAACTAACTAAATTCCTATGTAAGTTTTTTAATCTGGCAAATATATGAAATGCATGCTTAAACTAATAATAATTGTAAAAAAACACATGTAAGGTCACTAGATAGCTTTTATAAACCCTTCTAACACTACCCTATTCGTCACAATCATTATTTTCGTCAGATTTACCTCTTCTGCAAGTCAAAAAGTTACCAGGACATGCCTTTTACCAAAAAAATATTATCACTGCATAATTTACATAGGGGCCACGGTCAACACACTTCTTTGCTTTACTTGCCTATTGTATCGCCCTTTATCTGCTCCGAAGTTATAGCAAGACAAAACACGTGTAATACTATCATGAAGAAGGACCGAGACGCTACTACCATGGTTTAATGGCCGTATTGCAGAGCTGATGCTTGATCTGCGTGGACTGATGGAACCGCATATCTAAAGTTAATGCCTATTCAATGCATTATTGTAGCGTCCTGAGACTTCCCTGAGGACGAAAAGACGCATTCCTCGGGCAGAACATACATATTCAGCACAGAAAAGGTGTTTGGGCTACTGACTTGGCTCGAAGACCAGCCCACCCATCCATTTCTATTTGAGAGTCGAAACACTAACGTCATAAGTAAAATTACACCCCTCCAGAACCTTTCCAAGGTAAGTGTGATATCAATCTTTTAATTAGTAAGAAAGAACCAATAAAGAAGCCTAAGAAATAATTCAAAAATACAATGGCGGCCGGTAATTCAACTGTACCAATCAAGAAAGTGCAAAGAAAAAGTGAGTGTGAGGAGGATAAAGATGATCCAAAACCGCACACTTCTCGTCTTGTCCATTGATTGTCGCAGGTGCTCATTTGCTTCCCTTACCAACTCCGTAGAACCCACAACCTGTTCACCAATATGCTGTACCATCTAAAAGCGTACGTACGTACACATGACGTTCAACCTGCTGCTAATGAAGCCAATTATGATTTAAAGCTAGGCCTAAATTCACCTCTGCTTGCTCCAACAGACTCTCCGTCACCACAGCCTGCAGGCGTCCAATCTCCGAGATCTGGCTGCCCAGACGTTGGATCTCATTGCGTTCAGAGAGGAAGTGTAAGTAAACCTCCGCGTTCTCCATCTCCAATTGTTTCAGCTCCGCTTCTGACAGAGAGTCCGGTGGCAGGGCTTCGGCATTTTGTGGTGGGGTGCTAAAGAGCCAACTGGTGTCGCCGCCACTACTGCTTCCAATACCACCACTACTACCACCACGTTTTCGAATGACACTACTAAAATACGACTCCTGATGGGAGGAAGGGGGAATTTCACCTAGGCGACAAGCTAACTCCACTCGACGGCAGTAGGTGGATACCTGTGAGAAAGATCCATCATTTACTAGTAAAAATATTACATGCCCAACGGTAACTAGAATTACGGTAAGATTACCCTAAATCCAACCAAATTAAGAGCTGTGAGGGTGATTAATCAACACCTAACATCTGAGTAAGCGACATTGCAATTATAATTTTCCTTACGATATTTTCGTGAGGCATTTGTTCTGGAAGTAAGTAGCTCAAGTAAAATCTCACCAACCTGGAAAAAAAGGGTACCCACGATCACTCAAATCATAACGGAAAGACAGAAATGAAGACCTACCTGTTCATCTCGTGCCTTCTGAAGTGACTTCAAAAATTCCTCCAACGACCGACACACCGCCTTACGGTGTTCACTCGCCTGCCCCTTGCCCGCCTCTCCTCCGCTGCGGCATCGCTGCAGCTGCTGCAACAGCTGTCCACACTGTTCCAGCGCACTGTTTATCACCTTCGCAACCTCGTGATACATCCGCTGGCGCGCAGAGTCGTTTGTGGCCAGTGCACGACTCAACTCACCAGCATGAGCAAGGTGCTGACGTACCGTCACCAACTCAGAGTGGAGACGATGGGCACGAGACGAGAAGGTATCGGTGGTCGGTGGCAAAGCGTGCCCCTCAATAGCAACGGAGGAAGCGGTGGAGGACTTTTGGGACATCGAGGAGGTGGAAAGAGCGCGAACAGTGCTAGTGAAGACTCGGGTGATATCGCAGGCCATTTCTAAAATCGCACACACACTGCGCGATATACCGTACAATATCGAGGTGAGGGTAAGGCACTGGACGTGAATTAGAAAAATAGGGATATTTATTATTTAAAAGCGGAGTGTACATGGGTGGTCTAGAGACTTTCATCCACATCTTCCCCTTCTTCCTCGCCGGTTGTGACGCGTTCCATAATATACACACGGCAAATGGAGTCAAACATCTGAAGGAAAGGGATGAAGAAATAATGAGAGAGCCTACCACAAAGATGGTTCGTCTTTCGTCATTGACAGCAAACCAAGAGGGCTTTCGGGGTAAGGAGTGAACTTGCAGTGGCTCCGTGACCAGTTTGGACATCGGCAGCGGATTTCTAGAATGAAAGCCAAGAGTGATAAATGCTCCTATCATTACTGCAATTAAAAAGAAGGAGAAATTTCGTCAGAACGGAGCTGTCTACGACTTTCTCGAACCGAAATAATTCGCCTCAAGAAAAATAATCACCCTCTTTTTCGAGTTTACTATCCTGAGTGGGTACAACTTAAATTATCTTAATGGTTTTTAATCAACTTTGTGGGATGTTTCGAAATGTGATACAATGGACTTCAATATCACCGGACATGGCATTGTCCCTGCTTATTCTTCGGTCATGTAACTTTTTGGGCCGTGCAGAGCAGTTGACCAAGTAATTCACAACCTTTTTTTCGAAGGTAGTAGCCAGGTATGCGCCAGAATTGCCGATAAAGTGTTTGAATAAAAAAGCATAATTCTGTTAAATATTACTCAACAGTTTCACTTCTTTTTACATCAAAAATGACAACCAGAATCCGTCATTTTATCTGCCAGCGTTATATTCTTCTGTTAGAATAATAGAGGTTTGTCTCATGAAAAAATGACTCTAAAGTAAGAAACTGACAGAAAGTTTGAGGACGAAACATCGTTGACAAAAGTGCACAAAAAGTTAATTTTACATGACAATAAAAAACAAAGTTTTGACTAAAAGAGAGAAGAAATAAATCACAAGGTAGGATAAAATCGAGGAGTTTCCGATAATCATTTACTGCATTCCCTGTAACTTCCGCGAAGGCAATCACTCTTCAAAATCAACTCAGTGGTACTGCTCACAGTCGAATTGTTTAAAACTCATTCGGTTGGAGTTATTTAACCTACCTGAGCAGCACATCGGTGAGATTAGAGGACGCCAGCAAAATGGATAATGTGGCCAGTTCAGGAGCACCGCTGAGCCCCTGTTCCAGGGGGATGAAGATGAACCACTGAAGGGTCTCTGTCGATGAGGCGTCCGCCTCACGGTAAATCAGGGCCACAAGAGTATTTATTTCAATGAATTTCAAATCCACAATTTGGTAGGGTCTAATAAGACAGGGAAAGGGAATCAACCGAACCGTTAGAAGGGAAGATTTTTGAGACCCAAGAGATTAATTTTTTGACAAAGACGGTATGAAAAAGCGTTGGGTCCATACAGTAAAAGGAATATGAAGAATGGTTATACTTTGAGGTATTATGAATAAGGTTTTAATAAGGTCGGCAAGAATTTAGGCAGTATATGATAAAGGTGGTAAAAAGAACAACATAAGCATACTTCTTTGACGGGTTTTCGTCACCGACAAATCCGTCCACGGTTATGCTGAAGCCACATTTACCGCTAAAACATGCAAAATCGCGGAGTATTGTATTTTATTGTGTACTTGCGGTTGTTCAAATTGTAAGTAGCATTTTAGCAGACCGGTATTTGCCAAAGACATGTACTTATCTATACAGGTTCCAGAGTGTGCACGATTCCGGTCATCATTTTGGAGCTCTCTTCGTGTCACCGCCATTAACTGCTTGTTGGTGCTTCTGTACGTGCCCAATGCAATTTACGTGGACCTGCAGAACCTGCATCTTCAGGTATGGCAAGTGACCTGATATTGTGCAGAACTTTCAAATGAGTCGTCGATACTCCTATATTGGTTGTAAGTGGCTCTGTTCGTTCTGCTTAGGCTTCTGAGCCATTGGCAATAAGGTTATTAACTATATCCTTTGAAAAAAAAAAGCACCACTATTTAAAAGCAACGGCAAACTAAAGACAACGACAACCTAAATTTCTATTGACGCTTTTAGCCAGCAATTGAATGCTCCTTAGTCCTTTCAAAAGCATCGACGGCATTTCGCTTTCGAATGCTGAAAAGAGGGCATGCCACACTTTCACAGGCTTTTGACATTCGCAGTGATTGAGAAGACTAAGTGAGCTTTGAAGAAAAAAATATTCTCTCAACGAATCTACCGTAACAAGACATTCCTTAACCAGGATTCGTAAAATAGCAGGGAAAATAGAGCGATGATGACGACAAAAAATAGTGTCCCTGGCTTGATTGTGTCGAAGCAGTGGTTTTGGCCGGACCGTAGTATTCAAAAGGCCATAGCTAAAGTCATTGCCATTCAATAGAAATTTACTTAGAAAGTTTATTTAAAAGAGAGAATACATCAGTTTCGAAGCTGATAAAACCTTTCTAAGGCTTCCTATGTAAAAAAGAGAATCGCGTTTTGCTAGTAATTTCAGCATTTAAGAATTAGTTGAAATCAAAGCCTACTTTACCACTTAAACAATGAACTCACTCGACAGGGTCAGAAGAGAAAACGAGAATAGCGTCGTAAACATCGACTGCGCCTTCGTCCCGTGGTTTCACATATGCGATTCGATCAACTGTTCCAGTGAGTGCCTGGAGGCCTAGCAAGGGGACGGTCGGAGCCTTTTGAGGAGACGTCATGAGACAGGAGAAGTGACAGATGTGAAGTCGAGAGATATCGTTGCTGCAAATAGATGGAAATAATTGCTACTTAACCCGCTCGTAAGGAGGCATCATGATGCCCAGGGAATTCAAAATGTGGCACTGAGCCTTGGTGAATTGGGTAATTCTTTACTATCCAACAAATACTGCTTTATGGTTTACGAGGATGAAGTGAAATACATGAACAAATTGCACAAAGATGATGACGAATTCCACAATTGAACAATGTCTGTGATCAAATAAGTAGGGTTCAGAATTCTTCACTTGTTCCTCAGTAAGTCGTCCAATAATGGAAATTAGAAATAATTTTAGGTAATGTAACACCTTGCTTAACAAAAAGGACTTAAAACCGATTGAAATTAGAATTATGAATGCCTCCTGGTATGCGCTATTTTCATCATCCTTGGAACCTACACATTCGCCATTAGGGGAACTGGTCTTTCCGGCTCACTGAACAATTCGCTGGGTGAGGATTGCTCCTGCAAACAAAAAGTCAAGGTCGTTACAGAGGTATCCACTTTAAATACTAGCCAAGTGAATGTAAAACTTCAAACTTTAAGAAGTACTAGGATGCATCATCATCAGACTAACACTTTGCAATGTCATGGATGAGTTGTATGTAAACGGTATTATATCTAAACCTAAGCTCGGTCATAGGACCTATAAAAGCAGCTGGAAACATCAGACGCTTGAAGATGGTTCAGTTAAGGAGCACAAGGTTTGCTGATGTCTTAAGGCACTTCACTTTTCTGACTTTATTGGTGAAAAGGAGGCATCCAGTAGCCGTTGCCGAAACGATGAAACTACTTTGGAAGAAGTTAAATCGCTGGAAAGATTTTACTAACAAGACGTCCAAAAAGCGCGTGCGGTTCCGGATAGGGATCCGCAATGTGTCTCCGGCTATACGTACGCACACAGTATGGGGCACAAATATGTACCAGTACATCAGTACAGTACTCTTTATTGTCCTCACAACTATTGGCCTCATATTTTGAGCTCTCATATCACACAATTCCGGTTGAACTTGCCTGCCTTAAAAATGAATTTGTGTCAGCTCTAAAGCTGCATGTGCTAGTTTAACACTTGTAGAATATTAGGAGGAAGTGTATTGTGCGGTAGTAGAACCTATAGTCAAGCAAAAAAGCGGCATAAAGCCATATGAGAGATTTAAACGATATATCAATAGATGATGCAGCACATTCAGGGGGCCCTTATATTCTTGATATTGGCGGGTTAAACCAAGAGTGACGTGTAGAGAGCAGCCCTTAGTTAAATAGGTGTAAATAAAACAGTTAGCTAACACCTACATCACCTGGAAATGCAGCAAGAACTGAGCGAATGTCACGCTTTGATAAGGATCAAAATGTATTTACTTGCTCTTCACTTCCTTGACGTTATAAAACGTATAACTGTTAGATAAACTGTTGAGCGGCTTGTGATGAGAAATGCCACCTAGCTCACACTTCCAAGACCAAAGCGATTCACCCCTAGAAGACGGCTATTGCTCTATGGATGTGGCGAATTGCAAAGGGAATTGTTCATTTGATGGAGGTCAGGTAATTAGGACTGAGATCTAACTACTCGATATGGCTCGCACAAGTGCAGGGAGAAACTCGTTTTCAGAAATAGCTAAGATAGCTAGGAATGGTCAAATAATCGGAAGCTAGTCTTTTTTCACTATAGGACAACGCAAGGACCTCTGCTTCTGTAAAACGAACCCATGAGAAAATCCCTACTTTGAAATGGGATTAGAAGGGAGCCACCGCATTACCTCATCGTCCGTATTTCTCCAATGACATTCCTCTAATTGTTATTTATCACTTCATCTTGGCATTTGGGGAATGCAAGATAGGAACTGTGGTGGCTGGAGCTTGACACTTTATGGAGGTGAGATATGCAACGAGTTTGTACTTAGATGAGAATGGGTTACAGATTGCAATTACAAGCATTCAAATGACGGGTATGTGTTAAGACGACTTTTTGTTGTTTGATAAAGAACCTCACTAAAAGATTCGGTCATCTTGTAAGTCGATGATGCAGACAAGCGGGTCAAATAGTCTACACGCATGTTTGACAAATTTGAGCAATCTTTTTTTCAAAAACCACAATGAATGAATGGATAAACCAGTTAAATTAGCGAAGCATAATAATAGCATGGTGATATGGTATTTAAAGTATTTGTATGCAAGACAAAGTAGACCATTTCACTTCCCCACGATCTGATCTCCACGTTGGCTGCATGAAGGCTACATTTCTAATAAGGCCACCTTAAGGCCCGCTTGCCTCCTTGCGATCTCAGAGGTAACTCGAGAATCACAAACCAAAATTAACCAATGCTATTAGTAGTGTGACCTTGGCATCGGTAGCATCTAATAAAGCTGCACAATCCAATGGTTCGTCAAGTGCCTAGTAAAGCTTCGCTATTTCAACGAGTAGATGTCAACTGCGACAACTTCGAGCAAAAAAGAATGAGAGAGAGAGAGCTTACGATAAAACAACTCCTACCGGGCGATGGAACCAGACAGGTCAAAACTACTTCTAGGGCCAACATTTTTCGTTTGCAGACAACGAGAATATGAAACGTCTACTACTAACACAACCACAACGTATTCAACAGATATTACAATTTAGCATCACGACCTCCAGCCGATAGACTATCTACTGTAAGATATTAAACGTTTCGAAACTTCAATGATAAACAATTCGCCACTCTTAGGGTAACAAAGTTAAACCGCCCACAATAATTAGTCTTCACAAATTGCTCAATTGCACTACTTCCTGTTTGAAAGCTAGTACAATAACCCCGTGGTTCGAAATGGGACATTCCTGGAAGGCGTTCAACAAAGTGGGGTTGCATAGACGCTTATTTCCACCTCAGAAACACAAAATCCGTCATCCAAATCGAGTAACTAATCCACATTACAAGGGTAAACCAATTTTATACGGTAAAATTTTGCGTAGTGATCATGTATTTAAAGGAAAGAGGATTCGTTTCATAATAAGCTACAAAAAATACCACCAGTAATTTGAACACTTTTGTGCGTTCCAGCCTACAAAAACCGCCATATATTAAGTCCTTCGCTGCTTGCTCAAAGTGAAATAATAAAACAAAATTCTTTGGTTTTTGAAATTCAGGCAGGTAACAATTAATACTGTGCTCAAAGGGAATATGAGAGAAAGCTACCCGGCCAGGATGCTTACCCCTCCGAAGGCGGCCAGTTTGTCGATGCGTCCTGCCAATTGTACTTCAATGAGGTCGGCTAAAGACGCGTTGGTCGTGACAAAAATGCCCTCTGAAGTAAAAAAAGTAGCCAAGTGGAGTAATACTAGTTTTAGAAGAGGTATGAGGGCACAATCGAAAAGCAGTTTCGAGAGGCGACGTTACTCTAACCCCGAAATGTGATATCGATTTACCCTAGACTTCAATAATAAATCTATTGACATCCCAAGGGTGATATTACTTGTTACCAGTTGTTTGGTACCATAAATTTAGTGTTGACCTTGACTACGAGTCTCCGTGCGAGGAACAGCGAATGATGAAATAGCTATTCCGGTAAAATAGCATCACCATTCACATCAGAAACAATTTCAATATAGATTAAATTTGTGCCAGAGCCAAGTCCATGGCTGTCAACTTGATTGTCAAAAAACAGGCTAATTAAATGTTGCTAGTCACAGTGGAACCATCGAAAAGACTTACCATGAAGACTAAATTAAAGGACACGGGAATAGCCACCTGAGCTTTTCGTTCAAGCTAACAAAATACTAGTTTTCGACAATGAAGTAAACATTTTTTTTCGACAAAATCTGAAGTACCTTGAAATACAGAGGTCATAAAGATCGATTTTGTAGTGTTATCCTCAAAGCGTCAGTTAGTAGGCTAATTTCCCATTTCCAGTTGACAATGAACTTATCAGTATTTTTTTCGTGCCAAACCTAAACTTCAAATTAGTTTACTTCTTTTGCAGCACAATTCAACCCAACGCAGAAATTAAGGGAAAGAATTTGGGGTGGAACGAAGAGAAGGGAGCCACAAGTTAATGCGACTAGTGGATACGTAACGCGCTCGACGGCCAAGGCACCATGAGGAAGATTGAAACAATATTTCACCCCTTTTAGATCATTTGCTCAAGCTCTCCTAACTTCATCTAGAAGTTGTCCAAAAAATTGCACTAAATGCAAACCGGCAGCTCAACAACAACAACCTCTCAAGGGCTGAGCTTTAGAACAAGGAGAACTGCCTGACCATTTGGTTTGGTTTCAAAGATAAAATGAAGGCTAGAGAACCTACCAGGAAAATATTTTGTTTCGAAATCCGTCGGAAGCGGGATGATATCCTTCAACTTCGCCCGTTTGTAATTTTCACTGGTGGTTTGAATGCCCAGCAGTTCATCGACAGGTTTTGTGGTGCCGCCCGTTCGAATGTACTGCAAGTTTGGTAAACCCGGCATTATTACCTACTATGGGCACAAGCGAAAAAAACTGCAAAATCTACCTGTTCAACGAGTTCGATTTGATAGCTCTTCAATTGACCGTCCACAAAGAAGGGTCTGAGGCGTTCTGAGACAAAAGTGATTATCAAATTGCGTTCTGTGGGTGACACCTTGGAAAAAAGACGTAGCAGCATTATGATGTCGTCGGCGATTTCAGATAAAAAATACTAGTTCAAGTTGACAATTTGATTGTAAAAAGGTTAGCCAATGAAGAAAGACGGTTGCTTATTTCAACACAAATTAAATGAGTATAGCTGTTGATTACTAACAGAAAACATACTTTGATGTCAGCTTTTTCTGATGTCTCTTTGGTACTTGACAGGGCGACTGAAGAAAACAATGTTAACGGTCGGTGAATGAATGTATTTAGTGCACATGATGCATAGAATATTCAACATACCTCCATAGAACCATTGGAAAAATGGACGCAGATATTGACTGCAGTGGTTGACGATTCTAAACTCAGCAAAGAGATACAGAGAGGTAAGGCACATTGGAGAAAAAGAATACGGACATTTACTGGGTAGAAATTTGCTAATACACCGGACATGTGGCTGCTTCATTACGATCGTTAGGTATGCCCTCATGCTAAAACGTAGTTTTATTCGTTTCCAAATGAGACTCGATCTTTTATCTCCAAACACTTTCGTCCATTTAGACGGAAACATGTTCTTCACAAAATAGGCATAGTTAACAGGACGGAACTTTACTACCTAAACAAACACTTGTACCACTTCCATGTTAAATGGTCGGGTCGTTTCTCCTCATTACCTCGCCTTCAAGATGACAGTTCAGACTAATAGCAGACATGTGTCTCGTCTATTTGAAAACAGGAGCACAAAAGTATTACCTTCTCCAGTGGATGCATTAATGGTTTTGATAAATCACTTGTGCAGCATTAAATGTTCCAAGCTGGTTATTTGTTATTAATTACTGTCCCATTAAATCATTGTATGCTTGTGCTCCTATTGGTGTTCCCTTCCTACTAAAGAATACACGCTACTGGAGTACTATAAGCAGGTGACCACTCCTGTATGAACTACTTCAATGTCAAGTCACTAGAAATTTATCTTGCGTTTATGTAGTCGTTTGGCTATCATATTTTCTCTATTGAGTTTAACAACAAAATCGGTTGTCAACAAAGCACAAAATAAAGAATTAAAGCGCCTTCCCATTGATTGGAAATATTAATCGCAGATGCACAATGACTTCGAAGCATTGTAAAACATAAATGAATATCCAAACTCACAGATGCAGATCCAGGGTTTTCTGAAGTGTGCTTCCGGCAGTTCGAATGAGGTCAACCACCACCTTCTCTGTAAGTCCAAAGCATTCACAAATCTGACGGTCGCGAACGCATCCCAACAATTCACTTGCCTCGCAAATTAGACGCATCAATCCACTAAAGTGGGTTAACGTACGTTGCGTTAAATCGTTTTCGTTATTTAGCACAGGATAACTTTAATATACTAAACGTATAAAAGTCATAAATTCATATGCGTTAAGGGTGGAAACAACCAATTTACTAAATTCCGGTTTAGTGGCTTTTGTTGCAATGTAATATGTAAATTTATGCATTTAAGAAAAACGTTTCGGTACACATTATTTCCGTAAAAGTGGAGAATCAAAATACCCCAAACACTTTTAAAAGTGGAGCTGATTCGTCACTAGCAGCAAGCCCTAAAGTAAATAAGCAATCAGAACAAGACACCCATTCTTTTCACGAAATTTAGGGCCCTGTGCACCATTCCTTCAGATGAAAATGAGCTTTTAATTTGCTATAACCCGAGACTACTGATACAGAGCAGAAGTAGCACTTTTTGGGACTAAATGACAGAACGCCACCCAGCCAGATGACAACAGCTTACGTACTATTGCAACTGTTGAAAAGTAATAGCCTTCATACTGCCATAGGCCTTAAACATGGCGATTCCAGCTCTTCGGATGGCCACTGGAGTCCAATCACGCTGGAAAAACTCCCGCAACTGGGGTCTACAGAAAGGAAAACGATTGGGTAACACGTCAGGTGAAAACTTTTCATGAGCTTACGACACATGACCGAAGAGAATGATTTCCAGCAGCTCGTTGCGAAGGGACCAGGTCTAGAGTTGAAGGGAGAAAGATATAGTGGAAGAATGTGAACAGGAGTTAAATTAGTGAAAGTAGCACAACTCACCGAAGAACTCCGAAGCCGCTCACGTGAATAAGATGTCAATTTTGTGTCCAATTCCAGGAGTGTATTCTCCCATGCGTTCCTGAGTTGTTTTAGGCTCCACTCCAACAGCTGGGGGTAAGGAAATAGTGGTAGGTGTAAAGTGATGTTACCTGCTTGCAATGAAGAAGAGCTGCTATGTGGAATGAAATATTTCGCATGGGTAGGCAGCGTTCGCCAAGAGCACGCGAGGGAATCTACAGACTTGGTGTAGAAAGTTGAGAAAATTTACCCCACCTTATTGAGAGTCAGGACACCTTGATGTGTGAGACTGAAGTAGCCGAAGGAAGCGAAATCTTGTGCCATAATGCATTCGTAAGACTAGAGAAAATGGGATGAGACTGGTATAATGGGTTACCCTGCAATCAACAGGTAATTTTAGCGAAGCTAGCTCATAGAACCCGCACCCATAGAATCGCACTGTATTGTCCGCAAAGTGGACAATTAGAACAGAGGGCCTGAAGATTCCAACACAGAAGAAATAACCTACTTTGAGTCAGGATCAAGCCACGGTTTAGACAGCTGCGACACTTCTTGACGGTTCGAAAAGAGATCACTAAGGTAGCAGATATAGAGAAGAGAGAAAGATCATTCGTTACTCTGTAAAGATGGAGAGTGACTCAAAAGGGGGAAAGATGGTTTGCTTTGTGGTGACATTGTGTTCACACGACACCCAGGTCAAGTGGCGAATCACGGCTGTGCCGAACTCCATAGAATGCAGAACGCTACCGTCGAGGAGATTCAAGAACTTTAGGCGTCCGCATTCATAGGCGACAGAGAGGACTTTCCCGTCGGGTCGCCAGGCTAAGTACGTCACGCCACCAGAATCAGAGGAGTGGACCTCCCAATTTATGCCCATCTTATACCTGTAATCAAGTGTTAAACGACCAAATACCACACCTTTTAGACAGATGTTGTTAGTTGCAAATTGAAAACCATTCATCAATTACTTATGGCAATTTCTAATACAAAATCACCGCTGTTATTTCACAAAACGGAGTTGGACTTTAATATCTAACCCAACAAAAAGAATAAGTCCTTCAACGGGCAAGATAAATCTTACCGGTGTAAAGAGACAATTCCACTGGGTGACCCGATAGCAATAATGTCCATTTTGGGTGACCACGATGCTATACTGACTTTGCCCTTTGCAATAGGTTTCTCTTCATAGACTGTTGTCGTGTACTCTGGCGGCATCGCTTACAAAATCGTCAAACAAACAGAACTAATAAAGCAAGACATTAAAAAACACCATTTTAAAAAGACCAACACCAATAAACGTGTATTTTCTTGATCAGTGTAAAGATCGTACAGAAGTGGCTAGTTTTGTAAGGGAAGGATACTTAGAAATGATTGGAGTAAGGGGGGCAAAGTATTTCGCATTTGTAGAGAAGGTGTTGAAGTAAGCTGCGATGAGGCAGTCTACCTTGCCACATTTCTTGCGATTAAAAACAAAAGGTCCATCAGTAATCATACAGGATATGTGTTTGCAGGTGGTATCAAAACGTTTCAGGACATCGCCTAAACCATCAGAAGCCCAATCAGCTGAGGTTAAAAATTTCAATATGAGCTTTTTTTGCCGATTACAGTAATAATCACCTAGAGGCCATGGATACATAGAATTGAAGCGGTCTCTCGTATGCCGTTCGCCGTTAGGTTCCACCCAGGTCAGATACAGAGTTAGATTTCGCAAGGTGTCAGCAACCCAGAAGAAAAATATGTGATGGGTATTTTTCATTTCCAATACTTTTGCGTCGAGCTCCACCTCGTTTTTTCCATTGAAAGTCTTGAGGGTGAAAACCATTGACATAAACCCAGAGACGAGATTGCCGCAGATATTCGATAATGGGAGAAGACCGTCGGGCGAAGCAAAATAGGCGTCCCTCAAGTACCGCACTTTAAAAGGTATTGATTTCAAAAGCAAATATGTTAAGCAAGCAGCAGTCGTTGCTTCATCGTTTGGAAGAGCATAATTATCCGGAGGAGATGCAATGTCAACCTCAAGCATCTCAACGAATACTAATACGACCCACTTTTATGAACCGCGGCGAAATAAACCAATTGAAACTCAAATGTCTAAAGCTCTGATTGGTTAAATTTTCGAGGGGTTAGCTGATGGTTTGGTAGGGTAGACTTCGATTACCAGTTCCTCATTCGATTGTGAAGTCCTTTCGTTATTGCATACACAAATTCACACTTTGAGATTTCAAATTGCTACCCTGCATGAAGCTCAGGTTATTGGAAGCTTGACTGAAGTCACTCTCCACGACAGCCCGCAAACGGTGTTGCTTCTGACTCCCTAATCGATGAATGCACTATTGTGCTAATAATTGCAACCGCCAAAAGGCAAAGAATTTCAAATGTAATCTTAGGAATACATATCAAAGTTACACTGCGCAACATCCGACTTTTAATTCTAGTATATAACGAACCAGGCAAAAACAAGACTTCTTGAGGGTGCTCACAACAAGGCAGTCTGAAATTTTGTTTCTATGTCTATGTGATCGCTAGGTTAATTTTCTTTATGTTGTTGCTCATGAACGGCTCCGTCTGCCTTTTGCCAATATGTGCACCGCATCAACTTTTCCTCTGGCTGCCATTTTTAGCAGTAGGTACTGGTTACTTTCTCCATAAATTGCACTTTGCGACTGAAAAAGTTGTAGAAATAGTGGAATTACTATCGAATCCTCTTTCGGGTTAGTTTAAATGAACCCCCGGCACACCAGTTTTGATTTTGTCGCGTTTTGGGGCGTTTGAAAAGTGATGGAGTTGTCGGATGAGGATTTGCGGAAGGAGCTTGCAAAATACATGGATCCTGTGCCACCTGCTACAGGTTTTCTTCAGCACTTTGTTTTACATTTCTAGGTTCCACTCGCGAAGTTCTCAGAGCTAAACTAGCTAAATTTCAAGCGTCTAAACCTAAAGGTATGCCTAGCTACGATTTAACTAACAGTCTGTTTAGAGGCCTCTGGTAAAAGGTATTGATCTGATTTTAAACCTAAATGTAGCTTAAGCGCTGTTGCAGGTACAGACGACTCACCGGAAGGGCGGACATCCAGGTAGGCCTTTGCGCTTTCGGTTTTATTTATTTGCCTATTTGTTTAAAAGCTCCCTGTTTACTATTTTTTGCCAATTACCCTTTTGTATCAGTGTAGTCACCTGTATTGATTCTTATGCGAACACCTTTTGGGTTAGTCATAAAACTTTGTTGTGTATTTTCTGACATTTCTTGGAATACCACTTAGGACCAGCTATTGACTTTTCAAGTTTGTGAACGGTGTACTTCCTTTAACGCAGTCTTCGGGAAAGATGCTTGACTTTCATGCTGACACTGGGGTGTGCATGAGTTGCAATCACTGGTAGATTTGCCTTCGGTGAATTGCTTCCTTCATTTAGTGGTTGAGTCTATCAAGCTTGTCACGTTTGTACTCTTTGTAATTGCTTAGTCCTAGGCTATTCGATATGCTCCTGGCATTATCTTCGCCTCGAATTATGAGTGTGTCTAGTGGATCTGAACCTCAGATCATCCGAGCGTATATTGCTCAGCCGGCGTTAATTTAATTCGTTTTCCATTATATCTAGACGTCAAACCATTGCGACGACCACCACAACGGTAATAACACCATCAACTACAGAAAATCTTGCATCAACTACGCCAGTTCGTCAGCGCTCACCAGAGAAACACCAAGTTGCTGATATCGCCTCCTCCCCTTCTGAACGCGTTTTTCACGAGGCCAGTAAATCACGTAACGACTCGGTGCTGTACGAGGATAGCGAGTACCGCATTCGCTACTTCCCCTCTGCCGAGTTACCAGACTATCCCGGCGGTCTGCCTGTTTTCCGTCGGCGCTCTCTCCATCCTTCCGGCAACCAGGAAGCACCCTCGGACCCCTACGAAGAGTTTTACATCCGTTCGCCACGTCTTCAGGCAAAAATGGATGCTGAGCGCATCATCTCGCGTGTTATGAGTGGGACCGTCGGTGAGATAAGATCCAGGCCCACCAAGGGTAGGGCTTTCTATCGCGAGCAGTGGTGCCGACCGGTGAAGCGAAAGTCTTGGATTCGTCTGCCCCCCGTTCAAGCGTTCTGCGACTTTCTGTCCTACTCTCTTCTTAGTCTCTTCAGTCTTCTGTTGGCACCTTTCACTTTAGTGCGAGTGCTATCTTGTAAGTTAGTTGAGGTCAGTGTCTACATACTCTGTACAGGTGGTTTACAAGTACTTTTTTGTCACTGCAGATCGCGTTTGCTCGATCCTGGGTTTCAAGACGCTCTTCTTCTTGCTCATCGCCTGCATTCTGACCATCCTAGGGATATTCTTTTTCCTCTCGGATCCATTCTATCGCAATCCTGTGCCGGAGTTCGTCGATCGTATATCGGGACCGTTGGCATCGTTTTTGCAAGGAGGGGAGCATTAGTTGCACTTCGTGTTCATTAAATGTTGTCATTTGTTTAATGAGTGTGGTGTCTTACTTCCCCCCATCACCTTTTGTATGTAATTTGGTAAAAAAGTTTATGCGCTTACGCGAGTGTGGGTTTCTGTTGACATTGCTAAAGAGCTTTAACATAGGCACCCGTATTTTGTCTAAGGGTTCGGTCGCACGATGTCTACGGTGGTTTGACATTGCCTGAATCAGTCTCATAGATTGGCTTGGTGTGTCTCGGTTTGCTTTAGTTATGATTTGATTGCTTCCTGTGGCGGGAGTTACTACCGAGGTTTCTCGTCATAATATAGAGGTCTTCGGCTGTCGAGGTGTACCCAGATTTGTTGCTGTGTGGGTTGTTGGCGATATGGTGGTTTCGCGTAGACGTTGATCCGTGGCCGAGATTTGTTCGCAGGGTGGTGTGGGGAGTAAGTTGTCTGATTAAAGCGAGTGCTCATTAGGCGTAGCAGTACACAAGGTCGCGTCGAGGCTTCCAAGTGGGCTGACGGGCAATCGGCGTAGCCCAGAGGCTAGGCCCTCAGCAGAAGTACAGAGGCTGGGCCTTAAGTGTCTCCTAAACCAAAATGAAGGGTAAACAGACAGCACACCTCCCATTTTGAGCCTCGCCCCTGCCACTCCCTTTGGTCAACCTCCCGCGTTGGTCATCACAGCATGGTTGATACTGTAGGAAATGCGCTCACAGACCATCCACACCAGCTGTCGAAATGGAGTGCAACTGAGAAAATATTTGATCACAATGTCACTGATTTCTCTTGGCAACTCCACTGGATTTGGGGTTTCGTCCTCTTTGGGAACTGTGTTGAAGACAAAGGAGTGCGGATATTAATATGTGTATCCGCTACTAGTCGTAGGAACACAAGCCCAAAAGTGAAATCATTTAATAAGGGACGAGTCTTAAAGTAGAGTCACAGGGAATAAATTTTCTTGTATATTCCTCTTTGTCCTCACTCCAGTGCTGCCCAGCCTCATTTATCTTGGTTCTGTTCATGAAGTAGAGAGGTGGAGGAGGTATCATGTGTTCACTTATTTGGCTTCTTCATGCAAGTACCATAGACAGCTCTGCAATGAACTTTTCCAGTTGGTTCACAAACACGACTAGTGTCGCTTCAGTTATTAATGGCATTTTAGAAAAGCACGGAACCGGGGTGGCTGCCTAGGGTGTACGTCACCTTCAACCCTTATGCTAAGGGTGAATACAGGTCCTCTCATACGCAGTATGTGCCCTTCTTCAGTGATAGAAATCATAGTAATTGTCCTATAGGATCGGGTTTGCTTTCCTCTGCAATCAATGCAGTGCGTCAGGACTTCCAGGCGGATTGAGGGGCTACTGACATGATCCGAAGTCCAGGCTACCTAGCGCAGGCACAATCGCGGAGCCCATGGGTGGATTGTTACCAAAATTGAGCGTTAAATAAATAATTTACGCACTATTCTTGTACTGTTAAGAAAAACTGAATTCCGAGGTCAAGGTGTGGCTATATGGCTACGACTGAATGATCATTGTAAGTTATACTTAGCCATTAAGTTCTTATTAATATCCCTGTCCTGATTAACACGGCATATTTTGTAGCGACCCGAGTCTTCCAGAGAGGCTGAATGGCTACTGTTCTGCCAAGCAAAGGCATCATTTCTGGAGACTTAGGTGCCCAGCAATCGAACACAGAGTTATAAACTAGCAGGGCCTTGCACTATCATTTCTAAAATGCATTTTCACAAACTCAATGCGCACTATGGAGAAGCTCCTTTCCTGTTCTACGGTATAGTGCAGTATTTCAAAATTCTACGTTAGGAAAAGTCAACTGTTTTACTTGTAAGCAATTTCCCGGGGGGGGGGGGGGGTAGTCATATTTAAGAGCAATCTAAACAACCTGAACTTATTGTCATAGGAGGCTGGGAATTTTGCGTGATTTCCAAAACAGCCCCCTTCAAGTACCCGTTGTAGCGTGCAAGAACTCGCAAAATGCTTTGGCTTATATGCATACAAAATAAGGTGCAGTTGTGCATCGTTCAACTGATGCATCACTCTTTGTTGTCCTCTTCATCATTTTTCTCCTATTATGCATCCAAATACCAGATAGATGTGATTTTAGGCTTGCCTGCTTTACAAAATAGTTTAATCTTGATTCCACAGCTGCACCAGCTATATTCTCCAAACTACTTTTTGTCGAACATGTGGAGAATGTTAGACGTGTGATACCGGAACGTGTCGTCCGGATCTGAGTAATTTAGGCAATTTGAGAAATTATGCCGATGAATTGCCAGATTTTGGTGCATTACATTCAGGGTGTCTTTCTACTGTGGATAATAATAAGGAATTCATGTGGAAAATTCTATTCCAGAATGCAAAAATTGACAGACTTTCTATTCTTATCTGTCGTTAATGCGCAGTATATAGAGCCCATTCACTTAGTATTTTAATTCCCTCCACCTTTCCTTCGCTGTTGATGTGTGTAAGCCAAATGCTAAACATTACAGGAGGCCACTCACGACATAGTAATACGGTTTTAAGGTTTCACAATCGACGCGAAATTCTTTGTTACTATCTAAAATTGAAAGATTCCCAAATACAGCGAATCAACATCTGGCGGTTGATCAGCAGAATCACTCGGGTTGCCTAAAGCCTTTGGTTCTGGACCACACGCTTAGCTACCGCATACTTTACATTCACCAAATGCTCCAAAACATATATATTTAGAGAAGGCGGCTGATGCAGCATTGGAACCGGGTTAAACCCGTTTTGTAAAGCAGCCAAAGCCATTGAAGGGGGGTTTTTTAACGACCACACGAACTATTTAGTCTCCTGTTACGACAAGTTCAGACTGGGTAAGCAGCATTTAGACTTGACTGTCAGCGGTTCTTGTACCTGTCGTGAAATCGCTCAAACACTTTGTGTCGAAGCCTTCGCCTTAGGTACATCTCATCACATCTTCAGTACACATTTTCATGTTCGTTCTTATCTAATGTAGAAGTACCAATACGAGGCGGGTCAGCACTACCACCCAATAAAAGAACATTTGGCGTGATGATGGCTGTAATAATTTTGCATAATGGCTCTGAATATATAAGTCTCTATTGAAATATCCACCATGCGAGTTGTGTTGAGTCACATTGTATCATCTAGTTTTACGAATTTTCCAAGAAGAAATTAAAAAAAAACCAATGTTTTATGCCAGAACCTCCCTAAAAAATGCCATAAAACCCATAACTCCAGAGGTAGCTTTGTTTTAGCGCCTGATTTTCTCCCTTAAAAAGCTATAGGTTGTATAAATTTTGATCGACCTTTGGTAAAAAAGCACAGCCGCTTTGGCCGAATGTCAGCGGTACCGCCCTGAATGGAGTACCACGTGACCGAAACAGAAAGCCAGTGCAATTGAACATGCAGGGTAGCAAATAACATTTGGTAAAAAGATGCGAATGCCATTATAGAATTTAGTCCCACCAAGCACTGGAAATGGGAAATGGATTTGAAACACGTGAATTACCCCTACAGTCTTTACTATACCTACAGTCTACTTTACTATTTGCACGGAACATTTGGAAGGCCTGAAATATGATAATGTAATGAGTGTATTAATTAGGAAGGGCCTTAATTGAGGAGTTGAGGAATCCTTTATGATTCGGACTCCAAACTTGTGACATGGTGATCTATTCATTCCAGGACTTCAGAATCCTTGCACCACAGTAACTTGAGGATGAGCAGACCTTGTGAAAACTTCATAGGTAACTAGATCCACTAAGATCCATGCACAAACTGTGTATAGGTCGCTGGAAGGGAGGCAAATGTGCTACATGCGGAACTTAAGAGTGTTGACAGTAAAAAACCCATAGACTTAGAATAAGCAAGCATTTAAGAATTTTCCACTTAGCCTATATTTGAATAAAGCATTAGAAAACCCAGAAGCCTTTTTGCGAGAAAGTAGGTTTTGTTTAGTACCATTTACTGTTGCTTGATAGTAGACTATGTGGTGATGCCTTGCACCGATCTTTGGTGTAGGAAAACCATCTCAGAGGCTTTTTAGGGCTTCAAGCAGGTGAAAAGTGCCTAAACTGTAAGGAGGAAGTGGCAATGTTCCCCAAACGATTCTCTGCACTGTGTATGCTGCGCGATGGGCAATGCGATCTCACGAAACAGCATGAAGAAACAAGCACACAACCGTCCCCGAAACACTTGAACAAGTCAAATACGCTACAGTTAGACGTTCAATCACCATGCTATGCTTGAAAATGGCAGTAGAAGTAGGTATCTATGGGTTTTACGGCTTCATTTACACGAAACTTCGTCGCTTATCACGCGTTGTTCACTACCACCTTTGTCGGTCGTCTTGAACAATGGCGCCCAGATTGGACTAATTCTAGAAAGGCGCACAAAGTACTGGTGGAATGGAACAAAATTCCAACAGACCACTGGATGTAGTACCGCCACAATGGAACGCCTTTTCAACTTAGAATAAAAGTCCCGACCTGACTTAAACGTCCATCATAAGACAGGTCTGTTTAAGCATTTCACCTTAAATGTATTTGGAGATCTAGTTGAACTTATGAGTTGGTACTTTAGAGTGATGGATCATCCACCAAATGTACTCTCCTGTCAGCACAAGATGACATTTGTCTTTTTTCAAAAGAAACTATACAACAATTGGTAGTGTGCTAACTTCAAACCAGCACTAAAAGGTGAGCAAAATACGTTGTTTCATCGCTGTCCAAAACATTTATTGCATATGAGAAAATAGGCGCACGTACGTCAGTGGAAATCCATAAAATACCCATTAGTATCACAGATGACAAGGCAAAGAAAGAAGAGGGAGAATTAAAATGAATCAATGTTTGGTATTGTTCTTTCGATTGTGAGAGCGAAAGAGGGAGCCATGGCGTCTGAAGGCTGATTTCAAACCACCAAAAATCTTATTCGAACTCTTTGTTCCAGCCTCCCCCGCCACCTCCTCCACCATCGTCGGATGTACCGGTGTTGCTGAGAGCGATGAAACACACTGAGTCGAGTAGGGTGAGTAGATTTGACTGGTGGTGGCGTTCTTTCGACGCGAATCAATCAACGTTGGAATGGATTTCTTAACCTGTTGGGAAAATAAACCAAAATGGATCATGTGGGTAAATGGAAAGCCGTCCACCCGGTTGATGAAGTGAATGACATTCTGCTGATCAAGACTGAAATTAAAAGCGAATTACCAATTCGCAATACCTTAATTAATCTTTTAACTCCTCCGTTGGGCGGCATGGACACCTGGCCGTGCCAGCAGTCCCATAACCTTTCTATACGTCGATATCACTCATTCCGCGCTAGAGTTATGCCTTCTAGTGTATTTCAGGAAGTCTAGGGGCGCTATATTAGCAGCAGCCAGAAGAAAACCCGATCTCGAAGGCCAAGCACCCCCATTTCCACCACCAAATGCTAACCATTGACGCACTAGAAGAAGAGCACATGCGGCGAATGGAAGAATCTGTGACTACCCCTAAGAGAAGAGCTTAAAATGACGTCTACCTTCGACAACCACTCCAGTCCCGTGTTCCGCCGGAATGCTATTAACAAATAAAGTAACACTAGCAATGACTGTGAAGCATCCGAAGAAGTTCGTTACGGAACTATCCACGCTACCTGTATGAAGAAGTTAATTAATTGAACACTCAATACCTCCTCCACCTCTACTAACCGAACAGAACCTGGAGAAGGATGGCTGGTCAGCATAGAAGTGAGAACAAAGTGGCAGGGAGAAATGGACGTGATGCCTTATCCCTATAAATCTACTTTAAGCTTTTGGTCTTTTGTTCTTACGACTAGCGATAGGCATGCGTGGAGGCCTGTGAATTCTCCTTTCCCTAATACAGTTTTCAAATAGGACGAAACGCAGATGCGTCAGTGTTGCCAAGAGGGATAAATGATATAACAGCCAAATAGTTCCTCAATTGTATGCCATTTCAACGGCTGGTGTGGTTGGTTTGCAGGTGTTTTTCCTAGAGCACTAACTACGAAGTGGGAGGTTGACCAAAAGGAGGGCCAGGGACGACGCCCAAATGAGAGGGGGCTATGTAATACCTTGATCGTTTATTTAACTCTCGGTTTTTATAACACGGCTCTTAAGGATCCGCAATTGTACTTCTGCTGGGCGACATGACCTTCTGACGGCACTAGTAACCCTCTGGCCCTTCTGTACGTCGACAATACATATTCTGCCTCAGCATTATGACTTCTTTCGTTTTTAAGAATGGCTCATGCTCTAGTCTATTTTCCGAAAACACTAAGACATTATCCAACCAACTATTTTCATTTTATCAGCTCAAAAGAATAGGATTTTGGCAACAGAAGGAACCTGAAATGATGTTGATTGATTGTGAACTCCTCAGGGAATTATGAAGCTTGCTAGATCATAATTTGGAAGATAGGGGGCTATGTCACTTATTTTATTTTTAATTTAGTGAATTTGAATAACCACTTCACAACGCAGCAAATATTGCTTTTCATTTAAAAAACGGATCAAGGGAACAACAAGAGTAGACACGTTACCGAGACTCGTTACATTATGCCATGGCTTCCCACCTTATGAAAACGAGAATACAGGCTTTTTGAACCGCAGCCTAATCTCCCGTGTAGTTTCCGAAGTGCAAAAAAATTTTCCAGCTTTATTTTAATCTATTCCAAAACTCTCAAATTAATGGCGACTCCCCAAATCCTCCAGTAATGCATGCTCTCTCTCATTCCCTCGCAATCAGCTCATGTCAAGCAGAGGCGTACCTTAAGTATAATGATCATAACCTAATAGACCAAGGTCAGTCACTTACCACAAGTACTCTTAAGTGGGACCAAATACGTAAAGACTCCCGCAGGCAGTCCCCAATACCCAGTAGACGGGCTCTTACACCCACAATGTACCTCAGCGGTTACTCATATACGGTGGTCAACAAAGGCGTCTGTTCTGAAGTCTTTGTCCATTTATCATACGGCTGGAAGCTCGATAGGACCCAGGCCACGAGAACATGGAAACCCAAGTCCATAAAAGTGGGGACTCAGTTTGTAACACAAAGCACTTTGTAAAAAAGGTTAATTTAAAATAATAGTGTAAAATTTTCTACTTGAAACTTCTCTTCATGATTAGGCGCAGAATACCAATTGGATGACAAAACTAACGACTCTCACTAACAAAAAAAATTGTCAAGGCTCACGTATCATGCCATTGTTTATGATTTCGATTTTCAAAAATATTTCACCAAACCTCCTCTGGAATGAGTTGCCGGAAAGTGGCATTTTAGAGGTTCAGCCCAGCTTAGTTATGAATTGTGGTTTTTAAATCATATTCCAAACTCGGAATAACGCTTTCATGCAATTTTAGTGGCCAATTTTCAAACTTCTAGTTTCAATTTTAGCGATTTCTGAAATTCTTCCCAAACTTGTCTACTCATTACCAAGACTACATCTTAGTGGCATAAGGTTCTACAAAGACAATTTATCCAATTAATTCAAAGATGTGAAATAATCCGAGAAACAAACAATTTTATATATATTCCGATTTGTCTAGAAATCCCTTTAAATGCAAGAGATGTTGGTCATTTCACGAAGACACAGCAGGTATCAATAGCGTTCCAGAACAAGATTTCGGCTATGCGATTTCTTACCCCATATTTCGATCGAATGGTGTTCTCACCCTCGTACAGATGTAATGAAGGCGAAACACATGTGGTGGAGGCCATGAACGTGTCCATTAGCTCCACGACCTCCGACTTCGACGCGGAAGCCGTGTGAGGCGGTGGAAAGAAACAACCCCCTGAGGGCAACCAAGTTCTACCTGAACGGTAAAATGGTGGAGTGTGAGGGGAGGAGGAGTCAGTTCGAACTGTCGACGTCATCTGCAAACCAGGCACTCCTAAAGAGTGTGGATAGGATGGATAGTTTTATTGGTTCTACTAGTTTAAATATTAGTAGGCTGGAAAAGAAGGCGTCAATGATAAATTTCGGGGAAGGAAAGATCTTTCAGTTCTACCACATGCTTATGGTCGAACTATTTCCTGACTCGTATGCTTCTTTGTATTATCTCCAAATGTAACACAGCTACTATAACACGTTAGAACCAGCGGTTTTCCTACAATAGAAGGGATATAAAGAGTCTCGGAATGAAAGTATGTTTAAAATGTCGATAGCTTACACTCATTACTCAAAGCTAGCTAATAGAGCAAATTCAGTTCCCCAGAGAATCATACCGAGAGCTGGCGTTGGACACTTGCAAGGTTGGCACTCCAATTGAATAGGTTCCTCATACACCGGTTCATAGGCATTCTCCGGTGGTATTGCCCCTCTTAAACTTCCGCCAGCCAAAGTTACCGGGATGGGAGTAAAGGTGGAAACAGATTCGATAATCTTCCCGGGCCAGGTGGGGGGAGTGTCTGAGCAGGAACGGAAAAGGCCGCGCTGTGGCCGGAAATCGATGACGCCACGGTCAGGCGAGGAGGAGGTGTAGGAGGTGATGAGGGAAGAGAGTGTGAGACTGGCAATCGATCCGGAGGAGGAAGCGAAGGCAGAGGGCGAGGCGGCAGAGGGAGATGAGGCAGGTGTAATGGGAGGTGAGGGTGGAAGAGTGGTGGGGGGTGAGTTGGAGAAGGTCAGAGTCGGTGCTTGCGGTCGGTGGGGTCGTTTGAGGCGGACGACTGAATCGATTGGCTGATGCTGGATCGAGATAGAGTTCATCTTATAAAAACCACTTAGAGGTAAGATTTACAAGAACTAAGGTGGAAGCAACTTATTAGTACCCATTTCTGATATATTCGAGCAGCGCTTCATTATGAAACAAATGATTCACATAAAAGCCGATTAACAGTTTCAAAGCAAAAGTGAGTAATGCTAGAGAACTTTATTTTACCTTTAATATTCAATCAACTGCATTTTTGTAGTTACTTAAGACGTGGACCACCACTTACAGAGTTGCACCCAAACTACATTTGAGTACAACCTCTAGCTAGGTGCTGGTTCGAGGTGACCGTTTGGATTTCTTGTCAGTTTTTGATAAAATAAATACATTCCTTGATAACCATTGAGCCTATAGCATAGTGTTAAGCTCAAAAGAATCTCGGAGCAGCAAATACTCTTATTACTTGACTGTAATACACGTTTGCTTGAATACACTATTTGGGCGAGAGGTGGTCAATGGACACGAACCTAGTGACGGAACGAACAAACGAGGAAGAAGGGTACTCTGAATAAACAAAACCTTGATCGCTGCACCTCATACACATTATTACCAACAAAGAATGCTTCTACTCAGTCAGTCCACTCATTCCAAGGGAATGAAGGCCGAGGTGGAAGGGATAAATGTCAAACCCATTCCACTGGAGAGAGCGTTCATGGACCTCTCACTTTCAAGAACAATATGTTTTACAAAAGGTGTCTTAAAACCGCAAAATTTAATCTCTGGTTCTATCTTCAATGTCAATGCACACTTTGATTCTACGCGTCTATCCTCAAAACCTATTCTTGGCCGCCGTAGGGACCGAGATAAACGCCGGACACCGAGTTGGAAGAATGCTGTGCTACCTTAGGAAGAACAGACACAACAGAGAATTATTCCATTGCTTCCTAAAGGTGAACGGAGACGATGAGGAGTACGCAAAGAACCTCCAACTTTTAGCGAGATAAGAATCCCGCAGCTCACCTCCACCCAGGATCGTTGGATGGATAACCGCCCCGTTCAGACATGGAGTTTGGCCGCCCGTTATGGTTGAGAAGCCTCACGGTACGGATGCTGTCTCAGCGAATAAGTGTCAGGAGTTGCTTACGGTACTGCACTACAACAACTGCAATAGGCGACCAGACCCAAAACCCTCATATCACGGCCCTCCGTGTTATGCTCTAAAATTAGGTGAGCCTTTCTTTCCCCCATTGCGCTTGCACCCAAACGGCTCCCAGTCAATCTTACAAGCCCAAGGCAAATTGGAAGGATGTTTATGCATTTTCCTCTTGAACGCTGGTGAGGCCAGGCAGATATGGCAGAGACGGTCAAAGTTCTCTCTAGAGGATGAGATTTTATTGCACTAAGGTTTTAGGACTCCTAAGCGCTTAATGGTCTCAGGCTCATTAGTGCAAACAGTTCTCCAAGAGTTATATAAGCAAATGCGCCATGTGGGTGAAAAGATAATGCAAGGCGCCTCAAATAAAGGGTACTGTTGGCCTACTTCCACGCCGGAAGAATTTGATTTCTACCAAGCCTGCAATAATTGCTGCAGATGCAAAGTGGTTCACCTCACAGCAATCGCACCACTCCCTGCAATATTTCCCTACACAGTTCCTAGGGGAACGAGAAGTTATTGACATCATGGGTTGTCTTCCACCCACCAAGAGAGAAAACCGATATATTCTAATTATGGCAGACTACTTTACAAAATTAGCCGAGTCAGAACCCATGAAGACAAAAGACAGTGAAACGGGCACTCCGATTTTCTTCAATCGCTGCATTTGTCAACAAGAAGTACCTAAAACAGTTCATAGCGATCGAGGTGCTAATTTCGAAAGCTGACTTCTTACTGAACTACGCAAGACCTTCAAAATATCCAAGACATGCACGACACCTTAACATCCGTAAAGTGGTGGACAGGTGGAAGGAGCGTATCACACACTGAATACTTTCACTAGGGACCCACAACCAGAAGACTGGGATTTAAACTTTGGCTAATCCCTCCCTGTACATAGGTCTACGGACCATACATAAACCGACATTTTACTCACATATCGTGAAATGAGAGTACCGATCGGTATTTACTTACCAAACACGAAAGTAGCAACCCACAATGTTTCAAAGTGCGTACTGCGATAAAATGAAGGGATAAGACAAACTTTCAACATCGCACAGAAACATTTACAACTGTCGCATCAAGCAGAAGAAATATTACGGTAAACTCAGTCCGATTAACGCCTACTGGGAAGGGTACCTAATGCAGCCATACAGGCCGATCCCCCCCTCTAGGGCACACCGCAAGGTTCATCATCCGTATGCAAAGATACATTGCAAATGATGAAAGCCATCTTGTCAGTAAACAACCTCGCCTGTAATACACAAATCCGTACTAAACAAATCACCGTTCATCACAGCAAAAAGCGCTCGTATAAAGGTACACTACCTATCGAATCCGATGAAGTTTACATACTAACAAACGAAAGAAGACCATCGAAAGTGGCATATAATACAGACACCATCCATAAATGCGGCACCAAAGATGGTGCTCAAAAAGACGAGAGGCTATGTAATGCATGTGTTTGAATACACCCTTTGGGTGCGAGGCGGTCAGTGAACTCAAATTTCGTGACAGTGGGCGTCATCTGTCCCCGATTAAGACGGCCACTTTGAACGACCATAATCTTGATCACCGTAGCCCATTAATAATATTGCTGATAAGCAGTCCACTCTTTCCATGGGAGTGGAGGATAAAATAAATGAAATAAACTTCGAGCCCATTACGTGACATTTGGAACACGCTACTAGCTATCTAGAAGACATTTTGTGATTAAATGTCTTCCTAAATAAATATGCTAATTTCTTTGATCCAGACAGTGGACAAATTACTTAATCAAAAGTGAAATTATGGTAGTTTCGTAAACATGTGTTCACCTAATATCTAAAATGCAACTATTACACCAAATAAACAGAAAATTTTTAGATGAATCTATGCGGGAAAAGATTTTTACAGATGATTAACTGCATTTAAAGAGAAATATCTGTAGAACAACTAAATCATAAACCGGGTATTTTTGTTGTAAAAATTCTGAAGCTGTATGACAATTACTTTCGAGTTCCAAGAAATCTTTCATGGGAAAAAATATTGATAATGAAAAGTTCCAGAGATATCTCTAGCTCTAAACAGCTTACTCGTGGTGAGAAAATTATAAATAGCACTTTCATTTCACGGCAGCATCGGTAGCAAATTGTTATTTTGCTTAACTGTGTGCCTAATGCTGTGTGTACTTCATTCGCCGCAGGTCGCGCTTCTGCTCCGCGGCAAGGCCCTGGGGCCTTGGTAGTAGCCTCCCATCAGGTTCTTCCATCCTACTTTGGTTTATTATGACTTTAGGGAAGACTCTGGAAGCTGCATAGTTAAGGAAAGAATAGTAGTCCAAATTTTGGTGCTTCAAGGGCTATCGGTCTAAGATTATCACGCAATGTCAGCGGGAACTCTGCTTTCGTGTCACCAACCAGTTGTCTAGTGCTTAACGGTAACACATAAGCTTGATTTAGGAATGTGAACATTTGGAATCAGAATCGTTTCACCTAGGATCTGAAAAAGATTTGGATTTTCGCATCGATATCACGACCTAATAGGAAACAATTTACGAAACTTTTTGGAACAAATTTTCCAATGCCTTGTGTACTTTCATAGAAAAGTGCAATAAGTATACCCATATCTCGTAGGGAGACAATTGCGAACTAAAGCAGGTCTCTCAAATCACCAGCTCACTGTGGACATGTGTGCCAGGTGAAAAGCACATTCATACCTGGGAAGTGATGGTAATAATGTCGCCCTTTTTATCACAGGAAACAAGGCTCGAGAAGCACCTTCAAGAATGGTAAATTCTACTGCTAAATTCAATGTACCGCCTTGGTTTAATTTTTTTCTCGCTTTGGAAAAAGGTCAAATTTATTCAATTTAGGAATCTGAAAACACGTGTGAGAAATTTTTTCTTTTAACGCAAGAGTCTTTCCACAACAGCGCACTGAAAAAGTGTGAATTTGCATTTGGAGAAATTGAACTGGTTAGCAACACTTTCTGTATTTCAGAATCCAGGAAAGAGCACATGAAATATGTTCTCAGTGAGGGAACCCGTGTGAGGGCTGAAGGATGTAAATCTCCCGGTTAAATTGTGCAAGCCAGTATTTAAGTGAATTGATGAGGTCGACGGGTTGTCAAAGACAATGGATCCCACATCAAAGGCACTGCCGAAGACGACGCTGATACATTGAAAATATTACTAAATCGCTTTTTGATAAGTCTACTGTTGAGAGTAGTTACATTTCGTAATTAACAGGATCGGTAAAGAATTGCTCAGAATTAAGTAGAAATAGAAGGAAAAAGGCACTGAAAACCAATTTTTTGGAAGGAATACGAATAGCCACATTTAAAAGTGGTTTAGTATTTCGGAATCGGTTAAAGAATGTGATTCATCGGAGCGGGGTATACTTCGTTGACATCAAAATATGCCAAGTTCGCACCTTCAGAGAAATGAATCAAGTTGATACGATTTACTACGCGTCATAGCTGAGGAAGCCTTAAAATCATTGAAAGTGGGATTATTTTAGTGGAGCCAATGAAACTTACATTGGCGGCTTCGTTAAAGAGATCATTGAACTCGGCGTAGTGCTCTGAAAGTTTTTCATTCTCTGCAGAACTCCCAAGAAGCGGTGGTTGAGGCGCAGGTAGAAACGGTACCTGAACGGGCGTGGTGGGAGCTATCTCCACCACGGGGAATTGGAAACTGGCGTCTACGTAGTCCTCGTCACCGATCCCAGCCAAAGCCGCAGCACAGCAGCTCTCCTGTTTGTGCGTGACCTTAAGATCACGGAGATTCAATAGGGGAAGGTGAAATTAGCTATGTGTTTCAAATAGAAAAGTTGCTTTTACCAACCCTTGTTTTAATTTAGTTGAGGGATAGATACCTATTTTGATCTCATGCACCTTGCATTCAAAACCTAACTCGCGTATATGCAGAAAACTCATTCCAACCAACTTTCAGGTGGGAAATACCGAGTTGTATATAACTGCTTTCCGGTTAAGAAGTAACAAAGCGCAATTTGTACCAAAAAAGGTAAAAAATCACTGTAATAATGTCCGTACGATGAAGCGCTTACACCTGAGATAAAGGAATAGTTTTATAGTTACCTTACTAACGTCGAAGCATGACTCAAATAATGTAGTTGAAAATATACACCGCAACGTCAACCAGAGCATAAATTCCTCATATTTTAGTAGAACAGCAGTCCAAGTGGTCACCTAAATACAGTGGCCTGGCCAAGTTATAAATTGATTACAAATGACAACAATTAGGTATCTTGGATGATTCAGATACTGACTTCAATCTCAAAAATAGCAGTGATATCATGATTTACGAAGTTGAGTAAAATATCACATTTCAGGAAGCAGGTGATGCATTTATAAATAAGATGTTAGTAAACCTTGCCAAACAGAGTTCGAGTAATCGCAAAGTTTGGCTTAAAAGGAGACCTTTTGATTATTACGCAAAAGAAGTGTCCTATTTTCCGATAAAAACGCACCTCAGTCTCAAAACGGGGATTCCAAAGTTTTATTCCTTTTCGGTGATAACAATCAATCCTAGAATAACGAATTTCAAGCAGCATCAGAGGAGAGAACCTCTATTTTAAGAGAGATTCGGCTAGAACAACACTTCCGCTGCCTGTCTGGGAGGGAATTCGGCCGCCACGGCATAAATGTTTCACTTCTTCTTGTAACTTTATGTGACCCAAAACTGAGAGGAATATGACCTCCCTCAGACTAGAAACACTCCATATCCACTTTATTGTTACGAACACAATCAATTCGTTTGTGTTGGGATTGGGGTGCAAGCGTTTGCCGCGATCAGATAGAGAACGCCTATCACACATGTGAGGCTGGACAGACCACTTTGCCAGTGGCATAAAATTCAACAGGGAAAAGTCTACTTCTTCTTTCGTCCCAAGCCTTCGCATTTAAAAGTGGAATCTAGCGACTACGCATATTGAGTGTGACAATCTAGGGCTTTCAAATCTGGGATATAAAAGATAGGGGAACGGAAAGTAGGAAAACCTCAACTTACTTGCCAAAATGAGTCTTAAGCTATTGTATTAACCGCATTTTGACAATTTAGAAATGCCATAGCATTATTTATACGTCGAATTTCAAAAAAGTTACCTAGTTTTAAAGATGGTGTCTACACAATCCGCTTAGGGACTTTCCGTCAAAAAAGTATTCTGGCTAATCTAAACAAATTATTCTAGTCTTCATGTGTGGCAGTTAATACATCATAAAATCCACTTCCTGGTAAAGTATCAAATTTAAACCTATGAAATTAGTTGCACCCTGCCTCTCAATTCGTTTAATGCTCTATCATCTACATTTCCTTACTGTCTAAGTAAAATGAGTCCAGTGAAGATTTTCTCCCGCATTCACCATGTATCCATAACCCACTTTGGCACACAAAATCTTTGAAAGAATAAGTGTACTCCTATTCACTTCCGCATTTGACAACGTTAGCAAATAAAATTAAACGAAATTTCCCCAAAATTCACAGTAGTATTGAAGATAATGAAATAAACTGAAACTTTCACTCCTTAATTAATCAATTGGGGCACGACACCGTGAGCGAAAATGAAGAGCAGTAAGCACTGGAATTGCCTATCTGGGAGCTTACCGCCAAAACAGGTGAATAGCGACGTAGCAGATCGTTCGGTGGACCCTCTAGCACTGAATGTTGACAAGTCGGGTGATGCTGTTGATGGTGCGGAGGGGCGTCCTGTTGGCAGTGGAGCTGACGACTCCGACATATCTCGCAGTCGTCACCCCGTGAGCACCGACCTTCCACGGTGGCTACACTATTAGTGGTCTGTGCGTAATCGGGTGAGTAGCTCAGGAACCACGAACTCATGTCGCCGTTCAGGACCTGACGGTAGAGTTCTGAAAAAACCAAAGCGAATGAAGTCTTTAATTGTAGACAGTCTTTTTTGGCGATGGGATTGGATTTCGTACACAGCGTCGAAATGAGATCAAGACGACACGGAGGAAGGAATGAGAATATTGGCTCAGTGGAGCTATCTTACAAGCTTGGGGCAAACAAGCAGAAGAGGAAAAACGTGGAGCACCGAAGAAAACGTTTTAAGAGGCAGGGGAAGGCCACACAAGAAGTGATATTTAACTACCTTTCAGGCTACACAGATTTCAGTTACCGTCTCAATATCATAGCATTTAGTTCAGTTCATCTCCGCATTTATGACAGAGTTGAACCTAGCCTCGTGCTTCACACAATGCCTTCAAGGAGAACTCGGACGATGTGAGGCAGCTACACCCATACCTGTTTAACTCAATATTTAGTGTCAATTTGGGACTTCCACTCGCCTATCTGCCTCAAAAGTAAAAAAAATCACTGAAGATCGTTTCCCTTAAGAGACTTGGAACTAATTAGTAATTACTTAAAGCTTCATTCTACGTCGCCTGACATGGATATTGTTTTGGCTATATTTTTTTTGAAAGGAATGTACAACGAATTTTATTGCAATCTCTTTGAAAAGTAGGCCACAGATGGGCTTGAAGGAACGCACCTACGTCTTCATAGTTAAGTTACAACAGAAAGTAAGAAAGGGGCTGATTCAGCAGCTTTATAACAGACATTTAGACAACCTAAACACATACACCCCGATAACAGAGAAAAGAGCATTAAGGTGATGTAAGGATAATAATAGAAGGTGGCGTATGCATGAGGAAACTCATCTATCGAATGCGCAGCATTAAGACTCAAGGCCTGAAACATCTGACACATTTGAAGCATACGTAAACCACGCCAAATAGCAGAAAAAGTTTTTCAAGTTTTCGGTATAATTTGCAATGATGACCTGATCGAATTTGTAGGGACTCGTTCAATGCATGCGGGTGTTCATGTGTAAGCATTAGTAAAGCATAGATATGCGTCAGTCTGCCGGTACAGGACCCTTTAGTGTGCTCTCTACCAATTTCATCCAAATGTGAACCCTCGAATCACACAATGTTGGTTAGATCTTGTGATTGTGGGTTGAAGTTGTCTGCTGTTTAGCACAATTCAAAAGGTGAAGCTAGCTCCTCGTCCTCCTCCTCCTAACACTTGTTGCAGAGTATTTGGAGAAAATGCAGTATGCAGTAGCAGGACGCATCATCCAGAACCAAATGTTTTAGGGAAATTGAGTGATTCCGGCAATGAATCACCAGGTCAAGATGGATCCCAATCAGGAAGTCTCCCTTGTCTTGATTGTGATGAAGGGCTACCTGGGTTGCTGAATTGACGGAAGAAAATGGGCTTCAAAGCCTCACCTTGTTCGTCCTCCTTTTCACGTACATTATAAAAAAGTCCGGTGCAGCTTGTACTGTTTACTGACTGACCGACCAACTGGTTGACGTATCTGTGGCAAGCAATGAATTTTGCATTGTAATGTTTATTAGGCGAGTGAGTATATCACCAAACACTACTCACTCCAAACTTCACCGCTTTTTGTGTATTTCTGTAGGTGTAGTCGTGGACTGAAGACACGATTGTTCCCAATGTATTGTTCAGTCATAATTGTAGCAGAGATCTACCTACTCGGTGCAACTCGAACGTGCGGAAGAGAAGCTTTTTTTGAAAACCAACTACGGTACCAAATATTAGTGAATCGGTTAATGGGAAGAAACTCCATCTAGACAATACAATACAATGGAAGACCTGGTGCCTTACAATGCAAAACTTATTCGTGGGAGGAGTCCTGCTTTGAAATGATGTAGGATGAAGATAATTCCCCATCTCACCTTCTGTGCTTTCCATATGATATTCCTTCAAGCAATGGTTACCACCTCCACTTGACATTTGACAACCAACTGCGAAATGTACAGTTTGGAAGTGCAATCAATGTGGTTCGATTTTATGCTTCTGGGGACAAAACAGACATTTCGTGATATGAAGCTTCAGCGCAGGGGGGGGGGGAAATGGTACAGAAAACAATAGAGAGCACTGTACCAACATACCGACGCATGTCCGTACTTGAACAATCGCATTCACTGGACAAGTTTCTACATGTGCCAACAGTTCATACGGAAAACTTCGCGAACCTCTTTTGCTATTTGATATCATGTTTGTTTGGAATGTTTTTTGAAAAGACAAATTTCGGAAAAAAGGGAAATGAAAACAAACTAACTTTGATTTCGCACACACAGACACAAGTGAAGATGCATCTATGATTCTCTGATTTACCACAACAAGCTACAATTTGAGCTCTCCTCCTTTGGCATTTTAAAAAAAGCCATAAGAATTTTTACTTCAAAAGACTGAGTTCCTCTAGTCAACACCATCTTAACTGAAAGTTCAGGAAGACGAATCGGTGCAAAGCCAGGCTTTAAAACGCATAATTTCAGGTCACCAAAAGTTTTTACCGAATTCGCGATCACCCTCCGACTGTACATGCAAAAAAGCCAGCGATGGCTTCAAAACTCTTGCAGAATTGTGAAGGTACTGCGACTCCTCCGCCTCTGTCCCCTCCACCTGTCCCATCTCCTCTTGCAAACATTGGGGAAGACATGGACCGGGAATCCTGGGGTGCCAAATGCGACAGGTCTGCTGTGCGGCCAGACCGTTGATGAGTTGGCGTGGGCGCGTAGAATCCGCAGCCGAAACAGCAACCAACATGAGAACTAGCTGACGGTCGTCGGGGGTGGAGCGACCTTCTCGGTTGGTGAGACTTCCACTGGCCACCGTCAGTAGGGATTCCAGCTGGGAAGTGAGTTCACCACAGAATTTGGGCCATTGTGCGGTAGGGAAGTGGAGCAGAGCGAAACGAATGATGGCTACCGTGGGTGGTATCTGTGTAAAGATTTCTAGCGCCTGTGGGGGAAAGCAGAGAAACACTTAAAACTTACATTCCTTAAGTGTACTACTTGAAGTTTTATTTCAGTACCTAAACTATTTGAGCGATTTTCCTTTGGGTCAGCTAGTGATTATCTGGGGAATTAAACTATGCGTATTTTATGATCTTCATGGCAGTAATTTAATCAACCCATGCTATCTTGCAAAAAGTTTGGGTCTACCTATAAGATGGGAAAAGTACCTTAACATTATAAAAATTTCCTGATTGTCAGAATAAATGAGTAAACAAAAGAATAAATGTGTTTCTATTAAGATTTGTCACTTTTAAGCAGATGTATTTTGCCGTCCCTCACCGTTCCACCTCCACGCTGATTGTATGGAGCTATAACCATGCCAAGTGAGCTGCTAGTCTCCTCGTTCTTGCTTTGCTCGAGAATAAAGTTAAAATTGTTTTTAGGGACTGCCAGGAAAAATTGGAAAACTAACTCCGTAATCATAGCAGAAAACTGCAAATGAGTTCCATAAAAAATCTCGTAAATTGCATCGATAAGTACAGCCCATGGACAGTTTAATGTTTAAGCCAGTCTTGAGGGGGGGGGGGTAATCATTTGAAGGAGTCAATTTACGTATAGTTTTCCTGCTGATTGGCCCTAAGTTGGCTGTAGATGTCCACACAACATGGATTTTAACTAACTGAGATGGGATTGGGTTTGTCCCCGAATTTAAATCAACTCCCAAGCTTATACTTTGTGGATAAACAGCTTTTTATTAATCAATCAGTCTAGCTAATATAATCAAACTATGGTACTGAAATCGTCAGTAAGTTAGGAAACCTTAGCAATTAAGAAGTTTGGACGAGTTTCACAATCTACTCCAGTGACCAGAACCGCGAAGTAATGAGAATTTCTATCTAACTCTGAAAAGGAGGACACTTTTAACATCATCCTACGACATGGAAAAGGTGTTTGCAGGGAAGCGGTCACTTTTCAAGTTCATGCGAAAAGCAGCTCTTCATCACCTTTAGAGAAAAAGCAACATAGGACTACAGAACGACGAGAAACTGAAACAATTCCCCTGAAGGATGAGAGGTGGGGTATCCAGTAGACCTGTTAGTCCCTTTATCCAAAGTTCTCGTCAAACAATTGTGCGAGCGTGTATGTGTGCAGGGTTGCTTTTTTTCAAAGCCTCATTCTACCACACGCACACACTCATGGTAATTGGTTCAGTGCAGGGAGTCGGTGGAACCGAAGGTTTAGAGGGGAGAGGTGTCTAAATGCGAAGGCGACGCGCCGTACTGCGCACCAGGATTGTCTCATTGAAAATGCACAGTCACCTTCACGAGGCGGATGTAGGGGGAAGGCTTCAAGCCCCACACAACATCTGCCCCATTATGTGATCCACTCAATGCCAACTACTTCAGGATGTGGAAATGCTAAGATCCCCGATCTAATTGCGAAGGGGAATTCAAAAAAAATTAATTTATTTTGAATTTTTCCTAATGAAGGAAACATTTTTACCAGATATTTGAAGATAAGAATTGTAGCGCTGATGATAGGGCTAATGGGCCGCATTGCAATCCCTAGATACGCACAATATGATAACTTTGAAAGAGGATACATCTCAATCTACGCACAGGTTAGCGGCAAGGCTTGGCAGACTTATTTCCCCAATAGCGTTGAATCAATTTTAATCTTCCCTCGGGGTTCTCATTAAAAGCGTATAATTTCATCCTACTTCGAAATAACTTTTTCGAGTGACCAATACCTAATGTGTTCTTCTATCATATTTGTGCCATGGTAATTTGTGAATAGGTGCTGCTGCTCAGCTCCTCTATGCACTAAGAGTAAACCTACAATATTGATATGCCTCATTACGTCTTTAGGAATGACTTGGAGGGCTATAGAGCCACCCAATAAAAATAGTTGCCCTTAAGTAATGCCAAATTAGGTAACAAGAATCTGACTTCTTACTAATGGAACAGCTGTCATATGTAGTTGAACCTACCCAAGCATCAAGTCCTATCAAAAAACTGCATACTTTTTAAAACGCTACGTCGATCGAGGTATTCAGAGATGACCCCTTTAAGTCAAATACAGATATCTGGTTCTAGCGGCAGGATTAAGTTTCTTCATTCCTAAAAATCTAATTACATTAGAAACCTAGTGTTTGTGATAGGTTATAGAAATTTTCGCAATATTTAAGGCCCAATCGGTGCATCAGTGTCGTTGCCAAAGCACAATTTATTGCTGCCGTTCTTTGCTCAGTCGCCCCAATTTTCGTATGCTCCTCGAAGAGCAAAGTCCTTTGTAAATAAAACTTGCGTTTGTTTGCAACTGGTGATGGAAACTGACTGACTAGGTGTTGAGATGTCGTGTCAATATTTGATAATGCCACTCACACCTTTTCGGGCGGGTGTTTTTTACAAATGAACCAGTGCACTTTAAATTTTCCGGGTTGATTGCAGCCCTCCTGAGTGGCCCTAGAAGGAAAGCCAACAAGCAAGCATTGGATATTTGTCATGAAGGGCACACTGTTTACTTAACCTGCGAAACGAGGGTATGCACTGTTTTTCCAGCTGATAATTCAAGACCAGTAAAAACCCAAAACCCTAAAAACTGCTTGCATTATTTTGGTGACTGAGTAGTAAAGCCGGGTTCAATACATACTCAAGTTGATGTTACCTCACTAAAGTGGTAAATGACTAAAGCCTTCCAGTTAAAATAGCTACTGAACACCTTTATCCAAGCACTGTTTGATTACGAAGCAAGACAAATTTGAAGATATCGGTGGCATTTTGTGGGTGTGAAGAGGTAAAAAAGCGTTACTATCAAAAGTAGGCTCAATTTTCATTAATATGGAATTAAGAAATGGCGGCAAAATCAATTTCACCTCAAATGCAGTATCTATGGCACTGAGTCACAAAAACGACGCGATTCATTCGAACAGCTGGTTTGTAGGAATATACTACAGGTAAGATCTTAAGTAATAAGAGATTCAGTCAAATACTCCCCTCCGGTGACCAAAAAAATGGAGATTTTTAGCAAAAAGTGGCGGTAATTATTCCCAAATTAGCATTTTGTTGGTATCTAGGAGTCATCTAGGGCAAAGTTCATAGAAAACATTGCGTACAGTACAAAGTCAACAAGTGAGATCCAGTGCCCTCATTCGAAGTACTTAGCACACCGAACAGGTTTAATGTAATATATCGCATTTATTACTGCATATACAATGCAATATCATTTGTTCGCAGTAGATCAAGTTTTACGCTGTGGGTAAACGTTAGTTACTGTGGACTAGCCGAAAGTGGGGAAAGTGGTGGACTTCAAAAACACAAGGTTAAATCGTAGATAACATAGTGATGCTTCTTTCAATTGTCCTAGCTCCTATTTCCTCAAGGCACTTACCGTTAGCCATCCAATCTGCATTAGACAAGGAGAAAACGAGTGATGTCCCTGATGAAAAAGCAATAACAACTGTTTAAATGAAAGCAGATGGAAGGGATTTTAAACTGTCGCAAAGAGAGAAGATAACTCCAGAAGTAAATAGGCAAAGCTTTCACATAGCCACATAAAATTCCCGCTTTATAAAACCATCGTTTTCAGATAACCCGCTTGACACCATGTGGGGGATAGTGGATGACTTGGTGATAGCGTAACAGACATGATAGTTAGTGATAATTAAGCTGGATCAAGTACGATTAGATGTGCCGTATATCATGATGTGCAACAAATTTATAGGTTATCTAGAGATGATTATTCCTACAATAAAATTACATGCATAATTCCACCCATAAACTACCTGCCGACGGATCCAGTCTCAAACGCCCCACCGCTATGCAAAATCCCAGCCAGCTATTGACATAGACTGAGCATGGAAACTGGACAAGCGAAAGAAATGGTGAAGGGGAATGTGTCGGTTAGTTTTGACTGTTAGAGTCAATGCTGTATAAACCAGTTTTCTGGAGTCCAGTCACGCAATCCCAAAAAATCCGCAATTGAATGCCGACGAATTAAGTGAAGGTGTCAAGCATGCATAAAACTATGTGAAAATCAATTTAAGATTCTACTGTTTTGATGCCTGAAAAGACAATGATGTTGACAAATAAATAAGCCACTTTCTTCTTTAGTTCTCATTAAATGCTAGCTGTGCGAGAAACACTTTAATGGCGCTTCAAACATTACTATCTAGTACGTCTCCAGAAAGTTCGCATTGATCCTAGGCGTTTTTTTGCATGAAATCAGTACTGCACGCAAAAATCTACACGACTACACTACATGAATCAACTCCAGCCAATCAAAGCTGACGTCACCTGACTTGGCTTTGTTAGTGTGAGACTAACTTTCAACCAGCCAATGAGATTGCCGTGGATGAACTAACCAATAGGAAAGACCTTAGCAATTAGTTCTTTCCAGACCATGCAATTCGCGACCCTTGTAGATCTTTTGTTTTTCTCCGGAATGGTTGTTTTGAGTGCTAACTATTGAAATCCAACCAAATGAAGCATTTGCGGGCCCATTTAAGTAAAACTCCGCTATGGTTTTTTTCATGAAACGGCTCCATGATTTGTCCTGACTACAAGAAAAAGACCAATCCAGGGTCCACTAATAAACAGTCGGTTTTAAAGGCCTGAGAAATGCTCACATTTTAAAATTAAGAATCACCACGATTTTAATAAAAAGAAAGCGATACCACAGCGACATACCCGGAAAGTGAGTTGGAAAATCTGTGACTAGATCAACAATGGGGGAAATTCAAAAAGGCGTTAAATTACTAGAATCATTTTGGCATAACAATGAGTCACGTGAGCACTATGGCAGAGCGTCATTTTCAGAAATAACAAAAGTCACTTAAAAGGCATCCAAATAAGGCAGTTTACTAGAAACTGAAGTAGAGACCGTTTACTTTGAACTCTTAAGGAAGCGTAGCCCCGGGGGCGGGGATTCACAAAGAAATCAAAATGTGCGCCGCGGGGCTATTAAGGCAGCAATTAAAATTTTTGGAAGGAGGAGTGCAGTGCGAAAACGTTGCTCCACTAAAAAGCCTGCTGAAAATGCTGTAACACCTTAGTTGCCTGAACGAAAGCAGATAAAATACTCAAGGCCACACGGTGTTTGTGTGCCAAAATCCGTGTGGCCTTGAGATGGACTGATAAGTGGCGCGTGAAAGCAATAGTGTCGCTCTACTCTAGTCGCAGAATTTGCAGAAAATTAGTAAATCTTTGGATCCGCCCATCGAAGAAAATTCTTAAGACTTAAGAACCATTAACGAAGAACCTGAAGAAATGAGAATTTCAAACAGAGAGGGTCCCTCTGCCCTTTGTGGAGACATCTCTGGGAGTTTGACAAGTTTACTGTTATTTATCAGAGATACCAAGAAGGTGATAAAAACTACATCAACGAAAATCGTTTGATCTACGCATCCAATCAAATAAAATGAAAATCCAAGGGAAGGCATTTGACAAGAGATTGAAAGTGAACCGTTTTCAGCCCACGTTATAAACTATAAAGTTTTCTGTTCCTCAGAGTGAAGTTGTATTTTCACCACGCCAAAACTATAGCATTTTCGACTTGTAGGGATGTGAGAAAAATATTTAAGGTAAAAAGTGCTGGAAGTAGAGTTTGACTTCCCTCTTCTCATTTCAGTACAGGAACGAAAAAAAGTGGTCCTAACCACCACATATCCGAGCAGTTGAATTATAAGTTTACGCGTATCAGAGGGACTATTTGCAGTGTCAATCTCAGGTTAAGGCATCAACACCGCCACTGAAAGACTCATACACCCCTCCCAAGTAGGCCGCTATGATGTAGTCGGGGTGACGCTCGTTGCTATGACGCATCGAAGCGATGCGACGCGTGTCAACAGGTCGGGTTGGAGTGATGTTTGAGAGATGTGTGAGGCGACGGTGAGGTAGTGAGGGTGGTTCAGAGGTGAGGTGTATGGGAGGTGGAAGCAGCCTTTGTTTGGCCGAAACCAGGACCGCACACACACACACGCACAGGCGTGGTTGCTCAGCCTCGGCTAGTGAGTATACAAGACGCTGCTTGATACATTAATCATGCAAGTGCGCTTGCACGTGTGCACGGATGTGTGTTTGCTTCGCTCTCGTGTGTGTGTGTGTGTGTGTGTGTGTGAATGCAGAGGTAACCCAAGTCCTCCGAATCAACCAACGCCTGTGACCTTCATCTCTCACCGATCAGTGAATCGATACATTGACTGTCGCTAAAGTTAAAATTCTAGGCTCAGAAGTGACAGTTTTTTGACATTTATACCAATGAATAATTCAGTTACCCATATGTGCCAGCATTACTTCTTGATTGACGAATAGTCCTTTTAATCGCATGTCTTACACAATTTGGCCCGCACACTGCCTTGTAAAACTTTTTAGAAATATTTTCATTAATTTGTGTGTAAGAATCTGACATTGATCAGTGTTTAGATATACTTACCTTTGATTTCATTTCCAATTGCTTTATGTCATATATCAAGTTGGTTCAAATGTAAAAGGTCGCAGCCACTCCCGAGGAAGATGAAGTAAATAAATTAAGGTTGGGGGGGTGGGGGGTCAGAACTTCGGAAATGTGCATAAAGATCTTAACTGGTTAGTCATGAATATTGTTTAGCATACATGTCTGAAATTAAATCTTTAGGCGAAAAGTTAACCTTTGTGTTTATTTCACCCACAACGAATATATCAATCAAAATTGCATTAGCCACAAAAGTTAAACAATTTTTCATAAAATGATATAATGTTTACCAATGAGCTGATGTGAAATTAAATGCCTTTCTTAAGTTACAACTGCTGAATTCCATGTTCAGGATTCCAGCAATTTTAAAAACACTTTTTCTGCTAAATTTTTGGCCAGAAGTTTCATCCACTTTGCAGCTAAAGATCTAACCTTAAGCCGAGCTCTTAGTTTTCTGGAAGCTGTGATTAAATGAACATGCAATCGAATCATGTAATCAAAAGCGTTCCGAATTTTAAAGTAAGTTTAATTTTTTTTTTTAATTTATTGTCATTTTAAAGTGCCCTCATTTCAGAGGGTGCTGCTTACATGTCAATTCGCCTTTTCATTCTCTTAATTGTGGGTAGTGTATTTATAAGGTACGAAAAAAACTCCGCACACTTCTCTGGTGACGGCTTCCACGGTTCGTTATGATCAGTTCTTCCTAGTAGGTGAATAAACTGTGAACTGCTTGTCATAGCTCTAGGTGCCAGTTCTATTCTGCTTATCTACCATAGCAGTAAAAAGTGATTAAAAGAGAGTTACTCACTTGGCAAATAGTGACGAACACCACCAGCGGTGACACCACAAACTGGGTTCGGTTTCCCGGTACCATTGCGAAGTTGGAGAAATCCAAACCAATGGCAACACGAGGAAGTGTCTGGAAGGTCTGCACTACCATTGACGAGGCGCAGCTGTCACTGCGTCGTGGTAAAACTTTAATTTTTTGGGAATCCTCTTCCCCCTCCTCCTCGGTCCCAACCTGTTCAAACCTCACACTACCACCACCCCCACTGATATCTCCAAGAACAGCCGGTACGTCAGCATCAAAAGAGCAGATCTGGGTAAGGAGTGGTATACTAACTGTACTTTTTGCCTCTGGAAGGAGAAAGGGAATGGCAGTGGTCGAAGAGGTGTCTTTTTTGATAATCGCCTTGAAGATAGACATATTTTTAGCAAAGAAGAGTAGTGAGGCGAGCAGACTGGAAGGCGTCTTTTCGGGTATGGAGATGAGGGGCACTCGGAGCCTATAAACCAACGAAAAAACATTCTTAGAGAACTTCTAGTCAAGTTTGCTGCAAGGCTCCGGGAGGAGATCACGTTTTATTGGCCGTCTATGAAACCAGTGCTTGCACTACCAATATTTTCAACTAAACCACTGCTGAAAAAATTGGAAAAAACTAATTATTATCATGCAAGAAAGTTCCATATCTATTTTATTGACTTGAACTTAAATGGTCTGATTTGCTGATCAAGAGTACCTGACACATATTTGTGACGGTAGGGCATCATATACATGTGATGCCCTCCGAGAGTCAATACGATTAATGACCTCTTGCCAATGAGAATTCATTAAACACTTAAGAAATTTCAACAGGACTAAAGCCTGTTTAAAGTCGGACATGATACGTTTCATAGTCAATCTCTTCTCAATTTTGAAGTTGTCAATTTGAATAACTATTTATCCCCGAAAGCACTTCTGCCTATCTCAAGAGACTAGTTCTAGAGGTGGAATTGTTTACAAATTTTTGACGAAAGTAAATTGGACGTAATAATGCCATTAGACCTCAGAGGTCTGTTTATAGAAAAAACAAACAAGTTCTGACTTGATTTTTTAAAAGTAGTAAAGTGGTACACCCCAATCCATCCAGGTTTTTCACAACAAATTCATCATTCATAAGAGAAACACAACGTCACTGTTATGACATCAGTCGGTTCAAATGACTCAGCACGAGGTGGCAGAAATAGCTTTGTGAAGCCACACTCTCATAAATCAGTGTTAATGCCTAAACTACACCGCCATTATCAACAAGTGTCCGAAATGGTCTATTCAGTCTGCAAGCTTTAAAAGCATTTTTTACAGTAAAGTTATTTGAAAAAAGGTATTTCCCAACAAACCAATAAATTATTAAGTGGATTACAATGACTTGTCTACTGCAGAGGTTTATGACAACCGAATAAGTAGAAGGAATAAGTGAAACGTCAATTGGCGATTCCTAGTGGTGAATGC